CGGATGATGAAGCTGTAGCAAAACTTCCAAAACTCGGTAAATCTTGAAGGATGAAGGATTGTGTGACCAAAGTGAGATATCGTTGTATACCGTAGTTAAATTTGTAGGTCATAACCCAAACAACGTGGGACAATTCAGTCAGGGGATTATTGGCACGAGCTCGGTCGACCACATCGAAGAATTAAACAATCCTATGTCAACTACTTATTTATACGTGGATGCAAATAGTCTGAATTTGGACTTGAATGAAGAAAATTTGGATTTGGAATCAAGGAATACAGATGAAACTGATCGCAATTTAAACACCATTAGCACCTTCATTAATTTGCCACCAAGTTTGCCGACGAATTTGCAGCCGGAATCAACCCGTCGGGAAAACTTTTACAGATTTGTGGAATAGACAAATTGGTATGTTTTTTTTATTATTATAAAGAATTCAACTTGGAGCTATTTATACAAAAATGAACAAATATTTTATTAGCTCTTGAGAAACTTGTGGTTTCATCGTTCTCAGCAATTAACAGTGGAATCGGTCAACTACTTTTAAGAACTAAACAGCCCAGTAAATCCAAAGAAATACAGCTTCCAATCCAACTACCGTTGCAGTCAATCGAGGACGTCCAAAAATTAGAAGAGTGGATAACTCTGGAATCCAACGCTCAAGATTTGGTGAGATTAATCCAATAAAAACCAATATCAATTCTGTCATTCCAAATAAAAATATGCATCTTAATAAATTCAGGTGGAGGTCCTGGGCTCATTTGGAGGAACCACGCCACAGAAGGTGGTGACTACTATGTTATTAAATCTCCTGTCTAACTCGTTGGCAATTAAAACGAATTTCATTGGAGCAAACGATAAATTTGGATTCAAGGATTCCAAGCTGTTTGCATCTGTAATTAGTAAGTTAATAACAGTGGTCTAATTATTTATAATCTTATTTAAATTTATTAATTAATAGTCAAGATAAAACTCCTACAATATATTTAATTGTAGGAGCTCTTAACGAAAACGACGTATGCCGATCTTCAAAGAAAGCTGAATTTATCAAGTGGATTCAAACTTGGTTACAGAACGCCAGACCAAAAAAGAACGAAAATGTCGTACAGCACGAGGCGGAGGAAAATTAATCAAGAGATCGCATCTAATCTAAATTTTTTAAACAACATCTCCCAACAAGTATCTCAAGCTGAAACCCCATCCCCACGCGGTGCATTATTTTCATATCGTAAACAATCTATCCAAGACCTTCCAGATTTAGTCATTGATGAACCAGATCTCAGGATTAGTTTAGCACAATCTAGTACAGAAATTTTATCTTTGCCGGATAGTCTTAGACAATGGAGTTTTAATAATAATATTACTCATCATGCGCTGGACGCGCTGTTAAAAATAATTTCACCGCACATTCCAGAGTCTCAAAACTTACCTCTTTGCTCAAAAACATTGCTACAAACCCCTAAAATAATTCGAACCACAAATATTGTAGGTGGTAAATATTTTTACTTTGGTATCAGAAAACAAATTGTTAAATTCTGTCAAGCGGGTAACTTTTCATTGTCAAAATTACCAATTGTATCCAAAATGTGTCAGAATTTAGGAAATGTTATTTCAATTAGTATCGGAACCGACGGTTTTCCTGTATGTAAGAGTAGTAATGTACATATGTGGCCTATTTTGTTCATAATTGATCAGTTTAGAGGGTTGCAACCGATGTTGGCAGGTTTATATTGTGGTGAAGGTAAACCAGGCTGCCTTATAGAATTTCTCGAGCAATTTATTAATGAAGCTAGAGATTTAGAAATTAATGGAATAGATATTTGTGGAGTACATTACAATTTTAGGATTAGTTGTATTATTGCAGACGCCCCTGCACGTAGTTTTATTAAAGGTTGCAAAAATCATAATGCGTATCACGGATGTGAAAGATGTATAGATGAAGGCGAGTGGGATAAAAGAGTTTATTTTTCGTTCAAACCATCTGCAGATAGATCTGATGATAGTTTTAGTGAAAAAAGAGATGCAGATCATCATATGTATGATTCGCCACTAAATATTTTACAAATTGGACTAGTGTCACAGGTAGTTATCGATTATATGCATTGCATATGCTTAGGAGTAATGAAAAAGCTCTTGTTGTATTGGATTTCGGGTCCCCTCAAAACTCGCCTACCATCAACATCCATTTCCCAAATTTCGAATTATCTGAATTCTGTATCAAATCATCTTCCATTTGAATTTAAAAGAAAACCTCGTGGATTGAAGGATGTAAAGAGATACAAGGCTACGGAATTCAGGCAATTCTTGCTATATACAGGGCCTATTGCACTTCGTGGAATTTTGCCTGATAATTTGTACAGCCATTTTTTATTGCTAAGTTCTGCTAGTTATGTTTTACTATCATGCAGCGCCAGTGACCCAAACTGGAACGCCATAGCCAGACAGTGGATGCACAATTTCGTTGAAGGGATGACATTTAATTATGGAAACACGTCAGTCATTTATAATGTGCATTCACTTTTGCATATTTCAGATGATGCTAAAAATTTTGGTGGCCTTGACAACGTTAGCGCCTTTCCCTTTGAAAACTACTTACAATTCCTAAAGTCGTTAGTTAGAAGTAAAAGGTTAATGCTGGAACAAGTAGTGAAGCGTGTTACAGAGCATGACAATTATAATTTTATAAGAGACAGGAAAATAATAAAGCGTGGAGCAGTTGGGATCAAAAACGGGTTCGCTAGAAAGTATTATTTACCAAAATTTTCTGTAGGTTTAAGAAAGGGAGACAATTGTTTTGTTTTAAGTAATGATCAAATTGTACTTGTTGATAAAATTAAAATTTGTAGTGATCATCGTGTTACTGTCGTTGTAAGAAAAGTTTTATGTCGCACGGATATTAGCCGGTACCCAATACGAAGTAGCAAGTTGAACATATTTAAATGTGGGTCAAGCGTGTCTGATAGGATTGAGTTAAATATTTTAGATTTGAGACAAAAATGTGTAATGTTGCCGTTTAGAAATGATATTAATTCTTTCGTATGTATTCCTATGTTAGAAAATTATGCAAATTAATTATAATTAATATTTAGTAATGCCTTTTAAGTAATTTAATTCATTGTAATCATCAATTGGGATTTTTCTTAATAAATTAAAATTTTAGCAATGCAATATAATTTCAAATGATTTTACACTCGTTTTACTGCTTTATAATACATCAGTCTAACGAGCATCCCATGTCACAATATTACGGTGGAATTACACTCGTTTTACATAATTGATGTATCACTGTAAATTCAATGTTTTACGCACGTAAAATTAATGAGTATTAAGGCCGTCACTTTCTTCCAAATACTGTGCAGTTTACTGGGCCTTTTTACCTAATGTAAAACGCCTGATTCACAGGGAAAATTCTTATTGGGATACTCTTACAATGCGATGTTGCGAAGCGTAACCTTCGGAATTGGTTGAAATTTTAAAATTATATCGTCCAAGTCATATGTACAACCAATGTTTCTTGAGGCAGTTTGTGCGATGGGTGCAATTAGTCAAAATATTTGAGGTCAAAGTTGAAAGATGGGCGATTCTTACCAAGCGGAAGAAGCTATAACCCCACTTCCATTACCTCCGAATGGAAAAATCATTTTTCAGCTTTCACCTCAAATATTTTGACAAATTCCAATCGATGGTTGGAACATACTGCCTCAAGAACCAATGGTTTTGATAATCTTAAAATTTCAACCAATTCGGAGGGTTACACTTCACAACATCGCATTGTAAGAGTATATTTATGTATGTAAATATGTATTAAACAATTGAAAATGAGAAGATAAGTATTGAACATGGTTTTTATTATTTTGAATTAAAAGGCCATATCAAGTAATCCTGACACCAATTTCGAATAATTTTGTTCGTAATAAATAGATTTCTAATCCTAAGTGGGAAGTATGACCATCAGGGGAATAAATTTACAAGGGATAAGTCTATCCAAAACTAATTATATGATCGCAGCAGATCGCACCCTAATTTGACTTTTATTCGACAATTCGTTCCTAAAATATGAAACACGGTCCACCGCAACTCCACTGTTTGCGACAGTATGTGCCATCGTGACACGGGACATAGACGCCACTCTGGCTGTACAACTCGGTCGTGTAGCACCACCCAAAATCACACTTGGCCCAACACAACCCTTTGTGACATCCGCACGTTTTACTGGTCAGGCACTCCGGGAAGTGGCGTCGGGCAAAGGAAGCCGATATGTACATAGATATTCAGAATATTTTGAGCATCCTAGAAAAATGAACGGGGCGAATACAGAAACTTATTGATCTAAGTTAGTATGAAGGAAGGGGTATTTTAGCTAAATTTTTGCAATGAGAAGGAATGAATTTTGAGTTAATAGATAAAAAAATGAATTTTAAATGAATATTTAACTAGGTTTTACCAGGTTCGTAATAAAAATATGACTTACTGCCTCCCAGAATATCAGCTGAAACGTCGTCCCTGAGGCAAACCGTTGTAAGGACGAGGAGACATGCCATCCGAAAAGCTGTTGAACTCTCCATCACGGCTGACCATATAAATTTAACCGGTTTAACAAATATCAATCAAGCAATTTCTGTTTTAAAGTTCAATTTGTATTTGTCATACCTCAAAAATTTTGAACCGTGCAGTGGAAAATGTATGTATTTATGTAATGGAAGGCTAATCGTCTTATTTAGTATTCAAAATTTAAATGGGAACTCGAAATGAATTTTAGTACCAGTAACATTATTCACGTTACAAATTGGTCTCAGGGTTCTTTAGTACTCCCATCCCATAAATTTTAAAGGGCAGCAAACGCCAAGTTCGATCTCGTCTTATTTTCAATTGTTATATACATATGCAAACAATGGAACGTCCTTTGGTTCGATTATTGATGTATGCATACAAATAGTTAGTATGACGTATGTAGATCAGGGGCATTTTAGATGGCAAGATATGGATTCTTCTGTACTGTGTAGCTTTGGGAAGAAATTGGTAAATTTGATTTATTACACTCTAAAAAAACCGGTAGCAAGGCCGCTACCACGTGGTAAATACATACATGTGACGCTACCCGCATGTTAATAATTGTCTTTAATTTTATTAAGTGAACATTTAATATCTCTCCAGGTAATTTGGATCGAATAGGTAAAGTTAACAGGTAAATATTACGAATAAGTCATTTAAACTTAATCCAAAATCAGCTTGACTACTGCACCGACGATAACGAGGAGGAAGGACGCCCCCAAAATTTGTCCTCCTCCATCCGAGCGAGGCGTTGTTGGTTCCCCAATGTCATAAATCTCCCGGAATCGGTCACAGTGAGAATAATCTCCCGTATTTGCGATCACCATGTCGCAGATGTAGTCCAACTTACAACTCACAGTGTAACAGGGGCTCCGGGCATCGGAATCTTTGTGGTAAAATCTGCCACAAATTGAGAAAGGTTTAAAAATACCGTAAATATTAACATATTTTGGACTTGATGACTACTAAAATCGTCAAATTTAACAAATATTTTAAATTGTTTCTCGGCTCTGGGAACCTATTTTAAAATTCCGGACGGTCAGTTTGTTTAATTAAGTTTGGATAAGTTACAGTTTTTCCGAACCGTTCTAAAACTTGAGATACCCTAATTCAAAAATTGTCAAAATCTGGAGTATATATTTTTAAAAAATTGGTAACAACCTGCTCCAAAAATTTGTCGTTCATAATTTTAAAATAAGTTCCAAGGCCGAGAATTGATTAAAAATGTGCCGATTTTGGCAATGAGTCCAACGTTAAATTCACTATTTTTTTTACCTGTGATACATCGCAAAAAGCTTATCATCAAACAACATCCTTTTCGCCAAACCGTCGAAATCCTTCGGTCTGAAGGACGTCATGTTAAACGCCTCCTTCGCCGAGTACATTTTCTTCCAAGGCATCGGCCCATTCGGCTCGACATTGGTGTTGGCCTCGGTCAAGTTGTAAATCCAGGTCTCGTGGTCCATAATTTCCCACGTGGAATCAGCCCCTCTCCCCCCGTCGGCATAGTACACTTTAAACCCGGGATTCAGATTGGTCAGGGCGGTCGTGGAGGCTCCGATGTATAAAGAATTCGCTGGACGGGGCGGTTTTTCGGAGGAATCGTAAAAAATCTGGACCGCGTCGTTATGCGTGTGACCGTAAAATTGCGCCATAATTGTGGCCTCATACCGGACAATGATCCTTTCAAACTGCGCGCTCCACGTGGACCAACAGTCGCTCGAGCCGGGCGGCATGTGGCCGAGAATGAAGACCTTTTCGTTACTCGCTTCAGCAGCTTCGAGGGTGTTGGACAACCATTGAAGTTGACCTTCGGCGTCGGGCAGGTGGTAAAACAGCCAGAAATTTAGGGTGTAGCCAAAGTTCGTGTTGATAGCGATGATGCGTAAATTGGTATCTTTATGTTTTATGGTGTAGTAGCCGGTTTGGCGGAATTGGGCGAGCGCGACGGGGTCCTTGATTTGGTCGGCGTAGGCATCAGCGAAAGCGTTGTACATCCAGGACTTGTCGAAGTTGGATTCGTTCCAGACGGACCGGGGTGGGTAGAGGTTGCACGGGTGGGGTTCGTGGTTGCCAAGGACGGGGTAAATCGGGACGGATCGGTCGGTCGGGAAGAGTTTGAGGAGCCGGTCGTTGGTTCGCTTGTAATGTTCCAGGTTACCGAGAAGGGTCGTGTTCCAAATGTTGTGCGGGGGTATGTCACCGGTCATCATGACGAAGTCGTAGTTCTGAAATAGAGGGGTAAGTTGAGAATGGTAAAGTGCAAAAATTTGAGGCAAGGTGGAATCGAATGGAAGAATTTACTAGAAAACGGTCAGATTAGCCAGAATCCTTATGGCGAAAAGCTTTCGCCATAAAATCGTTCCATTTAGCGAAAAAATCTCTCATTTTTAAAGTATTTTGAAATTAATTTCACCCATCTAAATAATCTAATAATATTCAAACAATTTATTTTAAGTGATTTGGCATGAATAATTGAAATTCATATTTCGCCAAATTTAATTTTAGGAGTTTTATTTTTTTGCAAAATGTGAGATTAATTTCGCCATCTGGTACTTCACGACATTTGGTTCTCACACTGGCCAAAGTTTATTTCCGCCAATTTGACTTTCGCCCAACTGATTATTGATCGAAATTTACATATATCTACTTACATAGCCTGGGAGCGCCGCGGAATATTCGAACAGCTCATTCATCGCGGAGATTGGCATGTCGCACTTGAAATCGCCATGCGGTCCGGCACTCGTTCCGTTGGCGTCGACCCCATCTGCCTCCCAGGTTTGGCAGCACATAGGTTTTCCACAATCTGTATCCTTCCCAACTGCATAGTCAAGGTCGAGATGGATATCGGTCAGTTGGAGGATCTTGACCGGGACGGCGGATTCCGGGACGGGAGCGAGTTCAACAATGGCTGGTTTTCCGTCTTTCAGGGTTGTTGTCCAGTTGAAGAATTCTTCAGTTCTATTACCCTCACAATCTTCTCCAGATTTTCCGAGAAGAATGGTGCACACATCGATCGCTTTGAGGGCGGGGTTATTGTCGATGATGTAATGGAGATCGTCCTAAAAGGATTAAGATTAAGGATTTAATTTTCTTAAGGTTTATATTTAAATAGGAGTAAGGATTAGGATTTGGGATTAAATTTAATACGAGATTAGGATCAAAATTTGATTAATCTTCCTAGAATTAATTGTTTCGCATTAAATTTTATTATGCTAGACTTTAACTACTGAGATTTTGTAAAAAAATCTAGATTATGCTAAAACTTGGAATTTTGTTTTAAAAATTGTATTAAAAGTAAGATTTTCGTCACTAATTATTTTCACGCGAAAGTGACAAAAGTTTAATCCGCGAAGATAAATATGCTAAAACACTAGTTTTCTCCAGTTAAATATGTGTACATATGTATGTACTTACCGCGTACATGTCCAACGCTCCGGTGCAAACGTCTGGATGAAGGACATTGATAACGTCCGCAGCAAAACAACCGATAAGTTTTAATATCGCGATTATGGCCCCAATGCTGTCAGTTGCTCGCATTAATTCCATATAAACGTTCATCACCACGCGGCAAGCGAGACACGGGACGGATGCACGACCCGCCCTGGGTTGCGACAAGGTCAAGTCCAGCAACCAGTCACGTGCGAGGTCGCTAAAATATGAGGCAAATTTAGTATCCAATTTTTTGCAAAACTTTTTACTATGAAGAGAACAAAATAATTTATCCTAATATTTAAAAATGCATACATACAAAAATGAGAAAAAAATAAATAACTTGAAGTCTGCTATAAATTTAAAGAATGAGGAAATTCACAAAGTCTTTGGTAACATTTAAAATAAATACGTAAGCTCTGAAAAATAATTTTGCAAACTTTTGCCAAATACACTCTTAGAAAATTCAATATCTTTTCATGAAGTAAAATGGAACGTTATGCGCTTTAAAGTAAACCTCACTTGATTCGAAGTAAAATGGTTAACTTCATTCGAAGTAATGACAAAAGTCACCAAATGTGAAGTAAAACCACTATTTTCTAAACCATAAAGTAAGCTATTATACCATTTAGAGTAAGCAAACCCCATTTAGGATATTCTTGGTCAAACCAGACGCTGACTTTTCCCTCGCTCTCATTACAACTCGCAGCTCATCCAGTCAGTGCTGGTTAGTTAAATTGATAATTAATTTATTAGTTAGTTATTAACTTATAAGCAAATAATGGAGGCAACAATTTGGACGGGGACGCTGAAGGGTAAGAAATTTGCATAATTTATACACAAATTTAATTTACATTGCGTTTAATTTTTATTTTAATTGTCTTTAAACAGATGATGATATTACGGACGAGACTCTGTTAATAATTTCAGGAGAAAATTGTCAGGTTTTCTAGGTCATTTTAGGTCGGCTTTGGAATGCATTGTACAATTTGTGAGAACTTGGTATATCTTTGTTTTAAGTGCAAAACTAATTTTAAACCTTTAGTATAACATGAAAAAAATTATCTTAAGTTAACAGGGTCCAGCGTTTACAAATATCCTCACTAGTGGTTCATAATAAGGGTAATTTGTAATGCAATGTTGGATGTGAAATAAAATATATTATTAAAGTACTAAATACTGCGACTACGCTTAAGTAACTTTTCCTGGGGTCATCAAAGCAAGAAAGTAAAGTCATAATCAACGCGATTTAGGGTTACGGTCGTTACCCTATTGGGCGCTCAGTTACCCTGTGAATATTGTTACAGGGTAAAATGGCTTACTTTGTGGCCGAGAGAGAGCGATTCGCTATAAGTGGGGTAGTGGCACTTTGGAAGTTATATCGGGTTATATTTTACGTCATATAAAGTATGGATTTCTAAGAGTGTAAATCGCCCTTGATCTGTGTAAATGTACAAAAAAAATTTAGGCTAATTTACTACTTAATTTTCCTTAGAAATGTTTGTAAAAGTTTACAAGTTTACAGAATTTACGGATTTTACAATACAATGTTACCAAGGTCTGTTTGAATTCCCTCAATGAGTTTCTTAAGTAGAATCGATAGAATTTCACAAAAAATTCCTAAATGGACCATGACGTGCTTTATGCACGGTCCCAGCCCCACAAAATTTTTGCATATTACGTTTTAAACTTACTAATGCTGAATTAGATCATCCTGAAATTCTTTTTTTACTGGGAGCTGTCGCACAAGGTCGATCTGTTCTTGAGACATTTTCCCCTCCGTGGACCCACTAAAGGTCACGGCAATGAAACACATGGTCAGTAAAGCCCAGCAGAACTTCATGGTGATGAGTTGGTTGTAAATTTGCGACTGGTACGAAGGTCTTTGGAGTAAGACTGAGGTCACATTTATTTAATTGGGCACGGTTCTCGAGTGATCTGTGTACGAAGCGAATTCCAATCGATCGATTGCAAAAGAGTGGGATGATTTCGTTGGTATTGGTTTGATTGGTTTGGACATTGATGTTGCAATGGGATGAACAATTGTTGTTAAGTGCGATGTGCGGATAGATAAGTTGAATACATATTTAGGTAAAGTATGTATGCACATAATGGGTGTAAAGGTGACAAGTGTCAGGGTTACGTACTGCTTATCAGCGTGTTCTTTGTGTGATCAGTCGGCGGTGGGTGGGTGTGTTTTATTGGTTAAACTCAACTGACCCGAGGTTATAAATATGATGGATTCGCTCTGGAAAGCATTTTAAAGTAAAATACTACATAATAAATATTTATTAATAGAAGCGACTTTTTTCATGTTTTAGAGGTATTTTTTATGCACAATTGTTTTTAACCAGGTAGACATTGCTTAAAAGCAATTGTATTTGAATACATTATTTTATGTATTTTCTATTTTGTTTGGGGTTGATAAATATTACAATTAAACTATGTATGTACATGTGTATGTACATGCGTTGCAGAAATTCACAAAATCCACAAACACCCATGCACATGAATCATAAAACGGTCATAACTAAATTAGAAAAATATTGTCAATTGTGTTTTTCGTAACCCTGTTTTTATAGATGTGTGTGCATGCATATTTACATATATGTATATACATATCTATTTATACATACATACATACATACATAATTGTAAAAGTGCTAATCATTCAATTAATTGACAATCAATTGTGAAATACCCAACGGTAAACTGATTCCTGATCTGGAACCATTTTTTCTCAAGTTAAGTAATTACGTAGGTAAATTACGGTTGGGGTTGGGGTACAATGTACATAAATGGTTTGGCCAGTTCATAACGTTGACATACATATGTACATATTTACATATTTACATCGATTTGTGCCTTAATGATACGTGCACATCTTCCTAATTAGTATATATGTATGTAATTGTATTTCAAACTTCACTATCATAGACGTGTAGACTAGCTGCTGGACAGATACATATTTATTTAACTTTGTAACATTGCGGTACTTTAATAGTTTAAAATTTAGGGACAAAACCACTTTAGGAAAGTATGTACATCAGAGTGTAATCTCCATGAGAAGAAGTGCATATTACGTAATTTAACACCTGTAGTCCTCCACAACAAATTATCTCTTTCTCCATTTAAACAAGCGTGACCACGCCCTCCAAAGAAGTAAAAGCATTACTTTTCCCCATTTCCAAGTCTTGACAAATCCCCTCATAATTTTAGCCCTATGCCCGACCACGATTTCCAGCATGGCTGAACCAATGGCAAGAAGTAAGGTGGCCCCACCAATGACAAATATGGTCAAGAGATTTCCCCTCAAACCTGCGGCTTTCTGCTTTCCTACCGAATTAAGAGCAACATTAGGATTATGTTCGATGCGTCTCTGCCGCCTAATTTCCTCTTGTCGATCACTGAGCTCCACCCACTTTGCAAATATTCCTGAATGTTGTAAACTCCAGAGTCGAATTAGCATGGAGAAGTGTCCCCAGCGATGAATTTGCCATCCGTACTGTAAAGATTATAATAAGCAAAACTGAGAATTAGGATTTTACACTAAATTTTCACACAAACGCTAAGTTTATCGTTTGTATAAATCGTGAGAATTTAATGTGAAAACCCCTTTAATTCTCAATCACCCCAATAATAAAAATCGTCACAATCATCAAATTGTCACCGAGCGTAGCCATCAATAAAAAGCATCATGGTATTTTTTTCGAAGGGTAACTAACACTACTTTTCCAAGGGGTTACGATACAGCGGTATAAAATTTCCAGTGCCACCAGACGGTATAAAGTTCTAGTGGAAACCCTCGATGAAAATTTTGTTAGTAAATAAACATTTACATACGATTGATTTGAAAAAGACATCCTTCCCCAAACCGACTTTTTCTCGGATGTGTGCAAATTCTCGCCAAGACAGCAAATTTTGGTAAACATATTTCAAAGCTGTTTTCGAATAACGGCCGTACTTCCACCATCCAAGTAGGGCGATATTATTGCATCTGCCGACCACATCCTCATACGATGTTACAAAGGATGGGTACACATACATATCGGCGGCGTCCTTATGCAGGGTTATCTGCCCTTCGTCATACAACCGTCTGAACAGCTTGAACTCGGTGGTATTTTCGCCTGGGCGCCAAATCAGAGACTGTCTGTTAAGAATGTAGATTAACCCGTAGATTTCTGTCCGCAGGTCGGAGTTGGTTATGGTGGGTTGGTCGCCGTCGTCGAAGTTATCGTAGTTTGTAGTGAAATCGCGATATAAGTCTGAAAAGTAAATATACACAGGAATGCAATATTTATTTGGAGAGTTAATTGATGAATGAAGTGTCTAAAACAGCCATTTTAACCACATTTGCTTAAAACTTGCGATTTCTACTTTCGAGTTCAATGAATGCATCGAAATAAACAATTTATTGCAAAATTATGTAATTTTTTTTTACTAACAAGGGAAACTTTCCATATGACACACGCCAATTTCTTTCCAATAGGTATTGAATGAAAGATAGACCACACTCGATCACAGAATACCTATTTACATAAAGTGGAAAGTTCGAAAGATAGGAATAAGCGAACTCATAACTAGGAAATATTCAACCCAATTTTGGAAAATATTAAAATTTTAATAATTTAGCTTTCCTATATTATATCGTATGACTGTGCGTTACACATTTTACTTACCAGTATCAGGAAAACTATAAAGTTCGAACTTCTCCTTCTCAAGTTGGTCCAAATGTTCGAACGGTTTATTCACCAGTGGAGCAATAATCGCCGTAAAGTTTTCCCCCTTGTACGCATTCGTCACCACGACGGCCATCAAGATCCAAACGCCACAAACGAAATACATCCAGTTCAACTTTTTCGAATTAATGGCAAGATCGTCACCCTGTTCTAGAAGGACTTTCAACCCCATAAAGTACGGGGTCGCCTCCATGGAAAACCTTGATGCACCCGACATCCAGAAGACGGCATGCAAAAATACACCCACGCCGACATAAAAGGCGCCAATTGCGACCCACACGGCCATCTGGAAGGCTGAGATGTATCCGCTGAAATTAATTCTGGCCTCGTTTAACACCCCGCAAGACAAAAAAGTGAAGAAATCTTCCTCCCGCCGAATCGCGACGCCCCAGCCTTGCCTATAAAAATCGGCGCGTGGGTACGAATCATCCTTATTGTAGGTGTCACATCGCCCCGAATCAATGTCTGCATCGTGCCCGCAAGGAAATTCGGAAAAGTGCGTGAAAACTGTGGCGTTATCGATTAGTATGCGGAACAGGATATCGTTTATCGTGATTCCTCTGATTTTTGTGATCTCCTTTAGATTTCTGAAAGAAAGTTCCCTCTTTAATTTAGAATATGGCGTAGTGTAGAATATTTTTGTGTCGCGAAAAACAAAATTTACGGCCGGGACGACCCATTTTGTTGAGCGGGCGGCAAAATCAAGTGCGTCGAAGGTGGTCGCGATATCTGGCAGGGTTAAGGGTCCTCGATACGGGATGTATTTCCGGATGTTTACCGTGCAGAATTTGCAGCCGAGTTTGAGAGTAAAATTGGTTTGATTTGGAGGATGAAATTCCAGGACGATAAGGTAACTCGTGTGGTGATGCTCGAGAACGTCGTTGAGAGCAAAGTTAAATTCGATTTGGATCTTTTTTGAAGAAATTTCTTCACTCTGAACGACGAGGAGGTGGTACCAGGGGTGGGTTAGGGTGTCGAAGTAGTCAATCTGCTTGAATTTAGAATGGTACGTGTTCATCCAGGTTTTTTGGAATGATCGCGGAATTTGCTGGAACCATCTACATTTCTGGGAATGCAAGATAATTTATGAATGATGAAAAGTTAATTCATGTCAAATTCAGTTCTTAACGGGATTACATATGTATTTTTTAATCAGGTATTTTTTATTTTCAGATTTAAAATAGAAACGATAGAATACAAGTGGCTTCGGGTGAAAGTAACCACTTCCAGGAAATAACGTGAAGAAAAAGGTTCTTTTGCAGATATTTGACCTGCAAGAAATGCAGTTTCTTGAACCTTGTATTTCTTGTTTTTCAGTGCATTAAACTAGAAAACCTGCGAAAGACGAGCCACGAAAATACATATTTACATATACCTACATACATATGTACGTATACCCTCTTTGATTGCACACATATTGATCACAAATTTCTCTGGGGATCTAAAACTATTCCTGCTAAAATTTGGCATCTAACATTTTTGTATGCATAACCTTACCGAGTCTCTCGACGTGGATTCTTCAGGTGGGAACAGGTAGATTTGCAGGGAACACGACCACCCACGGTAACTATTGGCTCGATAGATTAGAGGAACATATTCCTCCGTATATTTCCACCGCTCTTTCGACACTTCGATTTCTTTTGGTAATTGGGTACCATTTTCTAACAAGAATTGAACATAATCCAGCCTCCGGGTTGAGTTTAGGAAATCCTTGTTTATCAGGACGTAGTCGTATCGTGAAATTGCTACCGGAACTTGAGCATCCGTAGCTATATCGATATTCTGGTAATTTATGAGGTGAACGAAACAGTGGGAAAAGAGGGTTGTGATGGGGTCCAGGTTTTTATAAGAGAAATTCAAGTAGTTCGGACTTGTTGGCCAGAGTCCATCGTTAACTAGGCGGGGGTCCAAGGAGGTTGATTTTACAGATGAGGAATAAATTAAAAGGAGAAGAATGACCGTAAAAATTGGCATATTTATGTATTTGATTTGTAGAGATTGTATATACGTAGGTTTTAAAAGATATGTATGATGGATATGATATTTATGTAGCAACTATTTTCTATGTAACTCATGTTTTCCGAAGTCGGACATGGTAAAGATTTTGACCATATCTATTTACCACTTGAAAAAGAATGTATTCTTTTTTCAGGCACAAACATTCGTGACAAAAAGAGTATACTCTTTTGTCACGAATGCTTGTGTAACCAATATTCCATTCATTCCATTAGGATATTCCTTAGTAAATGGCATTTATTTAATTATGTATTTGTAACTCTAGGTTTGTATGCATACATATTTATGAATGTACTTTAGGTTTTTGCATAATTTGACTTCAGAGCAATCAAGCGACATTAAAAACCGTTCCTCAGCGTACTTAAGTATGTACATACGTACATAATATGTACATATTATGTACATTTCTGTATGAATTTAATGAAATAAATAAATGCTTAATTATGTACCTAGTCGGAAACACTCAAGTGTCAATGACATATAGCTTTATTACTTTTGTAATTCTCAACTTAGCAATTTTTGATTTATTTTACCGAAAAGCCAGATAAATTTCAATTCAAAAACAATTTTTTGTCTTAATAATTTCCTCCTCCTGCGTCAATGCCACGCTGAAGACGAGACGACCACTCCTCGATGGAATTACGCACAGATTTCGGGGACACTTTCTGGCATTCCGGGGTTAGAAATTTTTTCCAAACCTCCGCACTTCTACGGGGCTTAGAACACACCTTTGCCCATAACTTTGACCATTTTTCATATTCCGGTGGTTCAAATCCATCAAGGATGATGACCATTTCTGATTGGAGATAAAGACCGGAATTTGTTTTTTTAGCTACGCTTGGGTCATTTTTTGCACTATAAATTCGTGCTGAGTCCTCCTGAGAGGTCCCATCGATTCCATTGAATTGGATCTCACTTAGGGGATGTACCACGGACTCAAAAACATATTTTAAGAAATTTAATTCCCCCACCTCCCCCCAATTTTCAGCAAAATGTAGAGAAATTACCCCAATTAGCTCCCACCTGCCAAAACCATGACAAAACCTGGATAATGTGACTTTTTGACCTTTTGTCTATATCGGGGGATGTCTCTGACCGATTTTGCGTAGATTAGGACAACTTGTTTGTTAAAAGATTTTTCCGATGTTAAAATCTCCTCATTTGTAAAAAGAATCCTGCTCACTTTTTTGGAGCGTACCGCTTGAGGTGACTCATGCATTTATTTAATTTGGTTTTCCTTTGGGGTACGATCAGGATGTGTCAAGTACCACATTTCAAAGCCTTAAGCCCAAGCTTCAATTTGAGCACTCATTGGATAATTTGCATCGACAGTGTCAGCAGTGAGCTCGGTTTCCGTTGGAATTTCGTGAATTTCTTATAATTCCAGGCTTGAGAGGCTTCACGATGGGTGTGGTCCTTCGAGGTTTTCAAAAATTCTTCTTCGACTGTTCTTAGTGGATTCGGTCCCCATGAACCTTTTTATAGTCCGTTGGGCTAAATTAAAGTACACCTTTGACTTTTTCAGCACATGTCAAATTCACTATTTTTCTTCGATTTTTTTTGTGAAAAACTATCGCCGCCCACTTCTCTTCAATTTCCTATGTATTTATCCAGATGTTCAAAAATTACGAAGTCCATAGTGAATCATAATGTAAATCGCATGGCGAATCTAATGCACTTATCAGATTTTAATTTTGCAGCGTAGTTTTTTAGCAATCAGCTGTTGACACTTGAGTGTTTCCGACTAGGTACATACATACATGTATGTACATGTGTAGTAATGTACACATACATCTCGACGAATACACTTTGTAGATTTTTATAGTAAGAACATTTACAAATACGTACATAGGTATGTATTATGTACATATGTACATGTATGTATGCAGTCGTAACAAGAAATACATATTTACGTAGTGGATACGTTACATAATAATACATATTTACATACATACGTATGCGAATATGGATGTGTGCGTACAATTTCTACGCGTATAACATGCCAATTTTGAACACGGTTCTTTTACTAATGCCAAAATTCCTTTTGCAATATCCCGATATGATCCAAAACAGTATCGTGATAGATAACTAATTAAAACGCTGGCAAGTATTCTTCAGAATATGTATTTATTTCACTTTAGAACTATGCATATACATACAATTCTTTCAAAAGTTGACATATTTTCGTCACCCTCATATGTAAATTAATTAACTCCTCCTTCGTCCATTGTTGGTCTCACGCGAGATAGGCCGCACATTAACGGAAGGATTTTCCGTAAAGAAGTTTAACGGTTTGAACCAGAATCCAATATTTTCGACCGGCATCACTGGCAAATCTTCCACGCGGACGATGTGCGTCACCCCGAAGACGTGCCACAGGACGACGTCCGTGTCCGTAATGTCGACATCGGGATCATCATCGACCCACTTTTCCAGGCCGGACGAATTTAAATAAAATCCTCCTGCGTAAAGTTGGTCTTCTTTGTAGGGCGTGACCCAAACGTCGTAATCGACAAAGGAGAACCTCGAGTGTTGGACAGAGTCGGCTTTCATCATGAGGTGGATGGCGTGATCGGGGGATAAGCGCCATCCCATGGGGTCACCCGATATCGGGTTTTTTTTGTTAGGGTCACCAATTATTCGCCAAAATCGAGCCTTTACTGGTTCAGCTTTAGTCCGAGCTTCGGATGGGGTGGTTAGAACGGTTTCGGAAATTGTGAACCCGTTACCGTACGGATTTGTGGTGCTGTTGGAGGGTTCTGGAATGTGCGACAGGATGCATAGAATTATTTATATTTTTGATGTGCAAAAATCAAAACGTTGAAAATTTGCAAACACATGGAAATTGTTTAAGTCTTAAACTTTAAGGGTGTGTAAAAATGTACAGTTGTTTTTTATGAGAATAGGACGCTCATTTTTTTTTAAATGCTACAGACTTAAATTTGCACATTCAAAAAACGGGGCAAAAATGTAAAGATCTTACAAAAATAAAGTTCACTAATTCTGAGAATTTGCGAAATTTCTCAAAGGAAATTAATTGCACAAAGTATGAAACACTTTTTGACTAATATCTTGTACAATTTAAATACAATTTAAATTTCTTGAAAAAGTAAAATTTAGCGAATGTGTTGTAAAAAATGCAAATAATTGTGCGAATTTGTTCATCTAAATTTCAGCTATTTTTTAACCACATCTTACCAACATCTGGTACTGCATCCACGACGGAGACGGTATTTTTATTGCCATCGATCTCCACGTCTAATCTGGCCGTGAAGAAGTGCTGGTGGTATTGGGCGTTGACATTTGGCATGCCAATGGTGCCATGACCCATCGGGTTGCCCTCTGCCCCCACCAAATTCTGACTAACAATCCCTGTCAAAACAAGGTTCAGCCGGATTGAGGCATCCTGATAAAACTCCCATTTGATTTGGTAATCGTAGTTTGACACCGTCGTGATAAACGTGACGACCAAGCGTTGAGATCGGGCGGTGAGGACGCGTCTGTGAAAATTGATATATGTAATTAATATAATAATCATAACACAGTCTTAGAGTCGAGACTAATTTTGTCATGGGAAAAAATCATTATTTAAATTTTGCCAAAAATATATGTATTCAAATATAAATATTCGTACAAGGGGAGTATTCATTACAAGTTCGCATGTTCACATAATTTTGAAAAAAATTGCGAACTACAAATACATACTATATAGTTATGCAAATGTTATTAAGTTCACAAATAAATTGTCAGGCCAATTTTTTTTATCTTGCGAACCTTTTTTCCTAACGATGTGAAGTCATACTTAATACCTCAAATATTTAGCACACACATTAAAATGTTAGCAATTTGATGGAATATTTTTGCAAAAACAAATAGTTGCTAAAAAGTGCACTGTTTCAAAAAGACGCAGCTTCGCCGGAACTTGTTTTGTTGCATTTTTCGTGATATTAGTGATTTTCCAAATTACGTGAGAAAATTTTTTTAATTAAATTTTTTAAATGAGTGCGATACCCTGTAATTGTGTGCATCTTCCTCCACAAAATTCCTGCATCCTCTTCATACACACAAATCCCATTTTTGATTGCTTGTCCACTTCCGGCCATGTCGTTGGTGATGAGGTCGATGAAGTAGGTCGTACCACGGCAGCCGTCTGGGGAGCGGAGCTCAGACGCAGAAAATCCGAGACCATATTCCCCTACATCCATGGCCTAAATAGAGTTTCAAAAATTCAGACCAGTTAAAAATCGGGGAAACTTTCAAAAATTTAGAAAACGAAGATTTAGCAAAACTCCTTTCTTCCTCTCGCAAAATTGAAACCTAATTTTTAAATAATTATAAATTCTGCTTACCGTTTTTCGGTGATACGGCGGTCTGGGGTCCTATATATTATATAAATTTGATTTTTTTCCTATATCATTCATAATTTTTGACATCCTTACTCCATAAGGGACGAACAATTCTGAAAGGGACGCTCTGTAAATCAAGGGGCGCACGGTGTTGGAGTCATTGTAACTGATAAGATGCAAGATAAGCCCCTCACGCCCATTATGTCTGTAAAATGAGAGAAAATAATTTTTTCCATCCCATGAATTTGCCATTCTTGTGCATACCCGATCCGCATCTTAAAATTCTGCCACTCTAATTTGTTCCCATCGATGGAGTAACTAGGTCCGCCGGGTTGTTCGATGTTGATGGGTTTAATGTCGTCCCGATACCACCTGGAATTAGGTTTGGTAAATCAGATCCGATAATACCCGATCGGATCGGATTTTTTTACTCGACCGTTTTCGATAACATGGATCTGACAATACCCTATTCTTCGGATCGTGTCAGATGGATTTGTCTGACCCATATTATAATAAGTGGCCGAATAATCCGATCGGATCGGATATCTGATTACCTGGAAGTTATTTCTGGGTCGAAGTTACCCGGTTCGTCGGGCACCTTGTCTCCGTCTCGGTTTCCCGTGTCGAAACTGTCCTGGATTGGCAATTCTTCGATGGCGACGACTTTATTTTTTAGGGTGTCCACTATAGCGAGGAATCCCATGGGGTGGGCTAAATCAAAATTTCAAATTTTATGGGTATTTTTGAAATGTGGATTTTCGTATTTTATTTTTCATTTACCGTAAAAATTGTCATTCTCTCCGGTTGTTAAATTTCTTCCGTAAAAGTAAACTTGAGACATTCGCTGGCCTGTGTAGTTGTCTCCTTTGTAACCATATTTCCTGGGAATGTACATATTCAGGTACTTACATATTTATAAATTTTGAATGCAACAAAATAAAAATTCCGAAATTAATTAGTTTAATTAGCATTATCTAGTGGACATACATATATATGTACTTATGTACTAAACCTACACATACGTAACTCATAAATTGAGTAACATCAAATTTGAGAAATTTCGCAAAACTTTTTGATCGAAAACCAGGAGATTTTTTAAAATTAAATTTAGTTAACAAATGAACATATACTTTTATTTACCCAGATTATTTCATAAAATATTTTGCAAATTAGATTCTATGATAGACTGTGACGTGAATACGCCCATTGTATTATATATTTTTGCATTTGAGGCAAGTTGAGACAGATTGAAAATAATCTCTATAATTTATAAAATTCTGATATTTTTTTACAAAAACTTACCACACGTCGGCAATCACATTTTTCGGATCGCCGTAAAAATCGCCATATTTGCTCAATCTTTCCAGCACGGTGGCATCTTTAAGAACCATTTCAGAAATTTCGGTCATCTCATCTCGAGCAAAACTTGTATCCGCACTTGTTCCCAATTTTACGAAAGAATCGACCTTCTCTTTGTCCAGGTCGACTATGCCCTCGTATGCGGATCCGTCTGCAGGATTCCACGCTACAGCGATTGCTTTCCTACAAAATTACGGCAGAATTTATGAATTCCATACAAAATTTTCAAGAAAGTTAATTATGAATTTGTCCAGTTTGTAAAATTTATAAAAACTTTAATAAGTTGTAATCAAATTTCAACTTTGTACAATAATTGTTTTAGGAAGAAAACGGAAGGATGTAAAATATGGAGAATAAATGAGCCAAATCACGCAGGTCTTCGTAAAATCCGTAAACTTACAAACTTTTAAAAATATTTGTAACGAAAATTATTTTACAAAGTTTACAAAACTTTGTAAAAATGAATGCGTGAATTGTTTCAATGAAAAATTGTTGACCGTATTTTAAGCCAACGTTTTTTTCTACTAGTAAATTATGAATTACAGTATGCACACATATAGTGGATTATAACGCATGACGATTACTTTATGAATAAATAATAGTTCGCAGAACTTTATAAAAATTTGCAACATTTCGAAAAATTATTCCTATGCATGTATGTACATATTTACTTCTCAATTCTGAGTCAAATTATCTGTATAATTTTTATTCGTGCTTAAAACGTCAAATAGAAAATTATCCCAAAGGTTTATAACCATGTAAATTTATTAACTTTCGACACGCTTGCCCAGATTATGAAGGAGGAAAATTTGCTATAAATCGATCGATGAATTGATTTTATTTTTTATGAAATTTTAAATATTTTGCAAAGTTATTAATACTAATGTTAGAGTTACTTAAAATCCAGGTTTTAAGAATAGTTGAGAAAATAATGGTAATTTCTGACCTTGGAATAACACCGGGTGGAGGATCCCTGTCCTCCAGGAAGTAGTCCAGCATGGCAGACTTTTCCGGTTCTTTGAGCATCACCCAGATAAAAATCCAGGTAACTTTCTTCATATGATCGCGAAATATGTGGGACGTTTTGTTAATTTCGGATCGGGAGAGGGGATCGAGTGGGTGGGGATCATAGTCCCACGCCTCCTCCTCACCTGTAAATGAAATGTTATAAAAATTTAAATTTTACGAGGTGTTTGCAAAGTTGTAATGAGATGCATCCGTTTAAACAAGCTAACAAAGATTACATAAAATTAGGTTATGAATATGTATATTGGGCGTACTCAACACAACCTTCATAATTCTGGCAAACCTAATAAATACGTCAACAAACTTGCTAAGTTGTGCTAAGAAATGTTCCCTAAAAATTTAGCTTGTATTTTCTAAATTCTCCAAGAAAATTGGAATATCATTGTTTGGATAAGTTATTCCGCAAACTTTGTTCTAAATGATTTATGACAAATATTGCAGTGAATCTGCCCACTGAACATATGCATATTTAGCTTTTGAAATTTTTTGAAATATATAGAATTGTACAAAATTTCCACGATTTCGCTCGGTTACAAAAATCCGAGTGAACTCAATAATCTCATTATGTACGAATTGTTTAAAATCCAACAAAAATTACCTGAATCTCCAAGAACAACATTTTGAATGAACAAAATCCCCGTAACACACAAAATTAGTAATAATCTCATTTTTCTCTCGGTTAAATCTGAATTAAAAATTTAGATGAAAAATACGGATTGTTTAATGTCCCATCTCAAACCTTAGTGTCCCATTCAAATGTGAAGTGCACTCCTTTTTATAAAAATTTTTAATTCATTGCATTTTTATGAAATTTGTGTTACATGTTTGTTATCATCACGAGACGATAAGAATGAATTGACACCACGCCACTTTATCTCCCTCGATGAATAGCATCTTGACAAATAAAACAATAAATCACTCATCCGTAGGTACATACAAACTCTTGGTTTAAGGAAATTTCCTTTTAAACCAAGATGGGTTAAGGAATGCAATAAATACAAATACGTCTGGTGGACGTCTCCGCTGGACTTATCAAGAGATAACATAACCTTCATGAATTATGTAATCTTCGTAGGTGTGCATTAGTCCATACTTACCCCTGCAACGATTTTAAGCATAAACATACATATTTACATACATATGTACACATTTAAATATTTACATAAGTAAATATCTACATTGATAAAGTACAGGAGCTGTGTTGCACCCATTTTTATTATGTATTCATATTTCCACACTTTTGATCCGTCATGAAAGACAAGTTTGTTCTTTGCGGAGATATGTATGTATGATATCAATCGAACAACACATGTCATTTATTCAATTTATTTAACTGAAGAAATGTATTCATCGGTAAAGTCTAGACTTTCCCCTTAATGCAAGAAAGAAAAGTTTGATAATTATGTAAGGGGTAATTTGTGCTCATTTTTATGTATACTTATTGTGATACTTGCCTAATTAGACTTTCGCTTGACAACATAAATTTCAATATAAAGCCAAACCCCACACAAAAATAGACAGATGACATTTAAATGCATGCATAAATATGTATATGTATATGTATGTATGTACATATGTACATATTCGCTTATACATACAGATACATATGTACATATGCACATACACAATTCTTGTAGATATTCTTGTATTGTAGACATTTATCATGTATCATTGTATTGTATGTATTATGTATAAGATCATTAGGAGCATGCTTTACTTATGTGTGATCCGTAATTGAAAATTGTAAATAGGTACAATTTAATATACATATTTAGTTATTTCTGCGCTGGTGATATAAATAAACATGGACAAGATGCATATATGTACATACTTAGCTGGTATCTCATAATAGAGATATTGTCATCCCGAAATAGTAATTGCACATGGGTCGAGTACAAAATTAACACCCTGTTCAACTTATAAATATTAACATAATAATATGTATGTAACTAAAACTAGCCATGACCCTGATTGCAATGAAATGATCTTGACAATGAGCATTTATTATTTTGGGTACATGTAATAATTACACGATTCGTACTGTGGATGAAGTTCTAACCCTGCAGACTTATTACACCGCTTTGTAGCATTAATTTCACGACGTCACCGGTCAAAAAAATTTTTTCCTCCAAACTGGTCCAAAATAAAAGTCTAGCATGGGAATAGTATAGAAAAATTATTTTTAGCGTTCTATGACCCCATCAAGGGCCCCTGAAGGGTCAAATAGCGTTCCCTGATAACCCCATGCAAATGGGGTATCAAATTAATCCCCTGGACCAGGGGAACCAGAAAAATATTTTTATAAATTTTTATGACCCTTGAGTCGTGAACTAGGAGCCCTTGAAGGGTTAAATATCATTCCCTCACAACTAAAGGCAAGTGGGGTATCAAATTAATCCCCTGGACAAGGGGAACCCAAAAAATATTTTTCTGGATTTTTTTGACCCTCAGGTCAAGAGTTAATGGCCCCCGAAGGGTCAAAATAGTAACCATGGTAACCCCATGCAAGTGGGGTATCAAATTAATCCCCTGGCAAAGGGCAAGCATAAAAATATTTTCCTGAATTTTTTTGACCTATCGGGCAACAGTTAAGGGTCCCTGAAGGGTCAACATAGTAACCATGGTAACTAAGGTGAATGGGGTATCAAATTAATCCCCTGGACCAGGGGAATCAGAAAAATATTTTTTGGTTTTTGTGACGTATAGGTCAAGAGTTAAGGGCCCCTGAAGGGTCAAATAATAACTTATTGTATTTTACTAAACGGGACATTATTTTAAAGTTTTCAGTTTTGCAAGAATGTTAAGTAGAGAGGGGTAGGCATATTTTTGAAAATTTCGTACAAATTTAATGAATAATAATTCTTAACACTATGTACAAATCGGATTCACTATTTATAATATTTATTATGTATTGAATCCATTGAAGTTAAAATCTAGGTTGATTCTGGTGGGAAGGTTAATCTCCTCCTAGAAGTTGCACATTCTTCTTCAGGCAAGTCTTCTTCTTCCCCAGCCTGTGAGTATTCAATATCATTGTGTATTTGCATTCGGAATCTATCAACTACTTCGTCAACATCGTCAGGGTCCTCATCTTCGTCGTCAGACACATCATCTGCTGCTGTAATCTGTATATTATGTATAAGTTATGTATTTTTTTACTAATAGTTTACTGTCACCAAGAACTCACTCGAATGGGGTTGGCTGAAGCTACACGTGTTTGGAAGTCATCAAGGAAGTCATCAAAATGTCCATCATTTTTCCAATACTCGTCCTCCAATCTATTTACAATAATAATGTAGAAATTGCGAATTATTCCCATAATAGCGAATCTTGGTTTTACGAACCGGTGCACATGTTTGATGTGTTTCTGCCATTGTTCCTTTGTGTATGTTGTCATAATTCTCTCAGCCTCAGCTTGTGCAAACTCAGCGGTCCCCTGTGTGTTTGCAGCCCTAACTGCGTGCTTGATGTCTTTCCACACGTACTCAATTGGGTTCAAGTCGCTAAAAATAGTTATTACATGAATATTCTTATTACCGTTACCTATGATTACCAGTTCTTACCAGTTATATGGGGGTAATCTGGAAAATACGTAAATACAGTGTTTAAATAAATATTACAAATTATTAGTAAATTACCCATGAATAGAAAATAACTTTACCGGACAACAGTGTTTCCATATTTCAATGCCTCCTTATCCACAATGTAATATTCATTTCCGTTTTTAAGGTCTTGAACCATTTTCCATAATTCAGGTCGTCTCATTTGCTTTACAGGTTTTAGTTTCAGCTTTTCAGGGCCCTCTAAATTATCATTCAGCCAGTCGTATAGCTCTTGTTTTCGGGATGTAGATTTTGGGGCTTCCTTGGTGCTGTGATACGGAGCTGACAAATTTAAATAAATGAAATTCAAATTAAAATGGAATTTACAAATACAAATTATTGGATGATATTACCGTTATCAATAACAATTATGCATGGACCATAATTATCTTTTATCTTTTGATTAAGATCCTTCCACCAAGCCATGTAAGCGACACCGTTAACGTTTGCGTGGTAATCCATCTGGACTTTCTTCTTTGATACTGGATATACCTTCATAGCGCCAGGTACGAATCCATCCTCTCCACCTGTGAAGATAATTATTATTTTGAAATAATTTCCTATTTAATGTGGATAGTTGAACTGCACCTGCATGCATCACAATGATACGTGGTCCTCTAGAAATTTTCGGGTTTTGGAAGGAGTATAAAGCCGCTTCATGAAATGACTTTGGTGAATTAATAACCCAGCCTTTTCCAGTTCTAGCATAACTATCGACCCACGTTTCATCTGAATAAATATAATGCATTAATAATTATATTAAATTAAATTAAAACATTTTTGATATTTAATCAGCCAAACCTGTGTAGACAACACATTTTGGGTTCTCGGACTGACGATTTTTAATCATTACGGACAGATATTCATATCGCTTCTGCACGATGTCTGATCTCATGAGGATAACTGCTCGCTTATCAACAGTTTTGAATCTAAATCCTAATTGCTTAATGAGTTTTCTTAACGTCCACTTGGAACATTTGAACGCTGTAAGAGTTTCTCCTCGGGCTATCCGACCATCTTCTTCTTCCTTGACTTCCTCCATCAGTTTTGTGTATACGTTATGCATTGTTGGTGCTTGATTATTAGCATAGAATTGATGAATGATTCGTTTAACGTGCTCAGTTCGGAAGTCGTCAAACTGATCCATCACTGGCGTTGGTCTAATACGTTTCTTACCAGGTGTTTTTATACTATTCGTTTTGTAATTCTCCATTGTCTGATAAACTGTTCTCTCTCCAATTCCTAGAATCTGGCTAGTTTTGGTGACAGAGTTTCCTGTTAGTATTTCACACTGTACCTGGTTACTGTCAAAGAATACTTTGGCGTTGACAATTAACTTTTGAGCTGTCGCCTGTAGTGAAACACCAAGTAGTTGGAATGGGAGTTTAGTATTTGGTTGTTTACAGTCGTTTTTCGCTTTCGGTGTTGCTTTCTCAATTTCAAAGGCTAATTGTTGCATAGGAAAACTCGTAGGACTGCACCTCGAAAGACTAAGGTAAGGTTTGGTTCCATCATTCCGTCTAGGAACATCAGATAAAGGAATTCGCATTTCACCTTCCCCCAATACCTGTTCTTTAGCTCTGAGAAGGGAATAGAAATATCCACACTCAGAATCCGGACAAGGAGGACCAACAATTAGGACATCTTGAATGAACTCGTTTATAAGGTTCATCTTTTCGTCGTTTATGGGGGTTGGGAGATAGCCTACCGTGTCACTGCCGGGTGGAACATTTTGGATTAGTGAAAAAGATTGAACTGCTTGATGAAATTGCCCTTGATTGTGTCCGAAGTGAAGTAAAATTATGCAGTACGTCAATGACTCGGCAGGTAAGATTCCTTCGAGATGGTCACTAGTAATCTGGCTGTCAGAAAACAACATATCTGGTGCAACTTGTTTCGATCCGAGGACAAAGTAGAAATTTTTTATTTTGCGTTGCGTAGTTTGTTTCTCTTGTATGATTGAGAAGATCTTGTTCTGGAAAGATGCGTACATTACTTGGTGGATAGTCATCCCGCCCACAAGGATTATTTCAACGAATCCGTTAAGTGAATTAGTTTTTGGAGGACGAGCGCCTTGGGCAAATACGAACATGTTCAATAAACGAAATCTGGTTATCATCATTCTTGGTTGCAAATTCGTTCAAAATCATCCTACATCCCCCTTTGTAAGGGGCCGTTGGGTAAATGTCTGTTCCCACACATGTATCTTCACCTTCTGTACTCTTGGATGCATACTCTGTATTTGAAGTGTCCATTGGTGATTCACCGCCAGGAGCTGACCCTTCCCCTAACTCTTCACGTTGTCCACAGTGCCCACGTTCATCATCTCCATCACCATCCTCCTGTATTGATCAGAACAAAAACGTACATGAGCTTGTTACTACAATAACAATTTCACGATGTCCCCCACAACATCCGCGGTCGCTGCTATTTATAAATATGTTGCAATATTTCTCACAAGTGCGTCTGCATTGGTGTCCATTTCATCCACATTTGAGCATGGCATGACGAGGGAATTCATGTCAGACTGTTTTTGCTAAAAGTGATAAACTTGTATGAAATGCGTCTGTGCTCTCAGACAATAAATCGATGAATCTGAGCTAGCATTAATAGTGCAAAAATATAATCTTACATCGATATGCGGTGGATTTACATTAGTTTCTGGATCCACCGTGTAGCAGCTCCCTAGCCAAATATTTTGCAGAATACTTATCCACTTTGACTCCTGAGCTTGGCCTTCCCAGATGGTTGTTAGTGTTCCTGCTGAAGTTTTATCGTACACCGTTTCATGTGCAAAATGCAAAGTTAAACTGGGATAAAATCCTGCTGGGTAGAAATATAAGAAGGATGTATAGGACCCTCCAATTTGACTTTCGAAATATTTTTTGGCACTCATTGCGGCCGCAAAAAGTGGGAACAGATCTTTTCGATGTAATTGCACAGTAGTTAGAAGTGCCTCGTCTGCCTCTGATGGTAGAACCCCTAGCAAATAATCGACGTCATGTTTGCGGCATGCTGCATCTGTGAATAATATCAACACACAAATTATAAAATTAATTTTCACAAATTTGACTTGGTTAGTGTATGAGCATAAATTGGGCAACAATTACCAACAGCATTTATTGGGCCACCGAGATCATCCTGCTTCTCAATATCGGTGGCAGGCCCGCAATATCTTAATTAATACCAATAATAAAATTATGTTAATAAAGAATCATTTCATAAAGATTCCAATCGCAACTTTAAAAATAAAAAAACTCATCCAAAATAACCAATTACCTATATCCAGGGAGATTGAAAGGTAATCCGCTTGGCGCCTTTTTAACTTTAGCTTTCTCCAAGGAAAGTATAATACCACGTGGGCGTCGGAGAGATCCAGGATGGAAAAATGCATCTTGACGAAGATGAAAGCAAGATGGCAATTTACCTTCGTTGGTAGGAATAAACGTGTGCTTTCTGGCAAAGAAGGCTGAATGCAGGAGACTTGTGTAGTTGAACCTGATGCATGATATTTGGTTGCACAGAATTAGAACTGTGCATGCAGAAGGAAGAGGAGTAGTGCCTTGAATAGCTTTAGTTACTGCTTGCTTGGTGGTACAGTTCTTCGTTTCAGCCGCTATATTACAATAAGTGTCACTAATTTTTTCCTGAGTTAAGTCGGATAGTTTATTAAATGTGTGGTTGGCGTTTGAAATTGTGATGTTATTTAGTAGATAACGGCTGGCATCCACGAAACTTTTAAAATAAAAAGTTACATAGCTTTCACTTCCCCATATCCGTATCTTTTTATTTTCATACTCTACTTCTTCAATTTTGATAGTGTCACTGAAGAACATAACAGTTTCATTAATTTCCATACACATCGTTTGATTACATATCAGAAATTCACTGCAATTGGATGGTAATGTCTCCTTGAACCAGATAACCAATCCACCCAGGTTATCCGTCTCATCACACACAACTTTAACCTGTTTATCTATTTCTATTTTATCGACATTCGCGCAACTTTTACCACAAACACAATGAACTATATATAACACATACAGTGTTCCATAAATTAAGTTATGCAACGTCATCTTCAATTTTAAAAATTAATAATTGAGCGGATACCAGTAAGTACAAACTCCAAAACTTAAATTTCAAAATGTCGACTGGAGAAGCCAGCAAGGATAAGGGGTCTCCCATCACCTCATATATTTATAATGCATCAGTTTTTAGGGGATATTCATCACCCCAACCATTAACCCAATCCTTCCCCAAACAAGATGGTGCATAAAGATATGTATATGAGAAAGGGACCAGTTTATACAAACATAAGTATGCTGCCTGAGACAGACTATGAAGCCTGGTTACCATGGTTACTATGTTGACCCTTCAGGGACCCTTAACTGTTGCCCGATAGGTCAAAAAAATTCAGGAAAATATTTTTATGCTTGCCCTTTGCCAGGGGATTAATTTGATACCCCACTTGCATGGGGTTACCATGGTTACTATTTTGACCCTTCGGGGGCCCTTAACTCTTGACCTGAGGGTCAAAAAAATCCAGAAAAATATTTTTTGGGTTCCCGTTGTCCAGGGGATTAATTTGATACCCCACTTGCCTTTAGTTGTGAGGGAATGATATTTAACCCTTCAAGGGCTCCTAGTTCACGACTCAAGGGTCATAAAAATTTATAAAAATATTTTTCTGGTTCCCCTGGTCCAGGGGATTAATTTGATACCCCATTTGCATGGGGTTATCAGGGAACGCTATTTGACCCTTCAGGGGCCCTTAATTCATGACCCAGGGGTCATAGAACGCTAAAAATAATTTTTCTATACTATTCCCATGCTAGACTTTTATTTTGGACCAGTTTGGAGGAAAAAATTTTTTTGACCGGTGACGTCGTGAAATTAATGCTACAAAGCGGTGTAATAAGTCTGCAGGGTTAGAACTTCATCCACAGTACTACTTACGTCATTAAATGAGCATTACATTAAGGTTTGCGATAAATTGTGCTTTCTTTGTTAAATGTAAAGGATTCGACATTTATAATGCATTTATTAATTTGGCTGGCTGTGCAAATACATAATGACACCAGACCCATACAAAGATATCATATTATGATATCTATTTCCGTGCCGATCTCTACAAATTTTTCAGGAAAGATACAAAAAAATTGTACTCTCGGAAACAAAACCAAAAAAAATGCTATGTAAGGTGGTGTTTGTAACCCTACTACTAAACAAGATCTACTTATGTACATAGTCCGACCATATGTTCCCGTGAATGCATTTCCGGTGATAAAGCCCAAAGTATTAGAGCTATCTGATAGAAATTTTTGTGGATGAACAAGGTATTAATCTTGTTTAGAAATCATAACTTCGTTTTCACAATTTCCTCCACGGGCTTGTACACAAGACATAAGTCGTGGCGAAAACTGCTCGATCGCGGCACGCGCCAATTTTCGTGGGAAAAGCGCCAGATCTTCAGTAAGTGCGACCTCAGCCCTTCCACACTTGGGTGAAATTTAGAGCATACTTGTACCTATAATTTTCACCACCAGTCATAATTTAGGGGATTAAGGTCTGCAGATACTGAGCACCGTTCTACGGATGAAAAAAGTCATGAAAATTCGTCTGAAGCCAGTTTTGGACAACTTTGCACCTTGCGCAGGAACAGGGTCTTGTTGAAAGGTCCAATGTCGATTTTCGGAGGGTCCAGGGTTCAGGTTATTAACGTTTGGCTTTAGGACACTCTGAAAATAATTCTTGGCTTCAACTTGTACCCTTTGCGGTAAAAAACAGAGATTTCATTTCTCCAGCCAACTTGCTCCCATGCACACCACGGTGATGACTTCGTATTGACTTCCGCATACTTAAACGGATGTCAGACTTCTGTACAACAAATACAGTCAATGGAAAAAGTATTGGCAACCCCCATGCCAGCTAAATAAAATTGGCTGTAACCTTGTAATGCATTATACAATTGGCATGAAAATTTGTTCGCATTTAGCAAATATAACGTAGTTTTCGATTATAATCATGATTTATTAATTAAAATTAAATAAACACAGTTTTTAAATAAGTTATTGGAAAATTTGCAAAATTCACCAGCAAAAAGTATTGGCAACATGTGGCCAAATTAATTACGCGAAACAACTTTCTTAATCAACTACCACACTTCATTACGGTAAGTTAATTAGGTGACAAAATACGACGATAGCTACATTTTAAGTCAGCAGTTGTGTTGTCTGGAACCAAAATGGCGACACCTAACGAACTGTATTTGGTGCGGTGAGAAATATTCATTTCTTTTTCGCAAAAAAAACTTGGACATCGAAAAATCAATGGAAAACATACTTTTCCATATTTACTGTTGGAAATGTAGCCAAGAAATATAAAATGGCAATCTTAGTTTCTGCTTTTCCATGATGCAGAGGAAAAAAAGTCACCTACGCCCGACCGCAAATGATGAATCAAAAAACAAATTACTAGAAATCCGAAGATTTCAACACCCAAAACCACTTAGAATTTGAGAACCAACTGTGGAGTCAATATTTCATACAATATGGTGATCAATCAAAAATCACGTCATGGAGTTTCCGGGTCCAGTAGCCCCATAAAAGGGAAGGCTCCCGAAACGAACCAACTCAAGGTATTTAAATCAGCTAAATACCACCCTAAATAGACTTCCAATGGATGAAGAAGGGTCTAGTGGTCTCACATAAGTAAATTTAACTTATTCGGTGCGGGTTGGATGGTTAGAGTTTGGAGGGTGCAAAATGAGGCTCTCAAAATGAATGCTGCCGTCTGGTAGTCAAGCTCGGAAAAGGATCGATTATGGTTTGGGGTTGAATGACTAGGTCGTTGCGTAGTTAGCTGGTCACTATCGATGAAGTTATGACCAATGAGGTCTAATTAATCATTCGAAACGATAATTTGAAAACATTTCACAAAAACCTGACCTAGGAAGTAATTTCATATTACAAAAATGCGGTGGCCCCAAAACATGCATCCACATTAACCATGCACATTTTTGGAGACAGAAAAGACTAAGCTTCTTTCGTTAGCTGCACAGTCTCCCGATGTGATTCTGATTGTCCGGGATGAGAAAAGAGAGACTGGTGGGAAATCACTCTACAAGAAACGAGCTTGTCAAAAGTTCGAAAGAAGATTGGGAAACCATAATATCCAAAAGCGTTATAAAGAAATCTGTCCAGTCAATTCCAAGGCGTATTTCTGCTCTTATTGCATCGAGACGAGGTGCTACGCGGTACTGGAAGCAGTTTATCGAAACAAAATTGCCGTGTCTTTGATAATGACTTTTAAAGTTAAGGGTTGCCAATACTTCTTGCGGGTTAATTTCGCAAATTTTCCAACAAATTATTTAAAAACTGTGTTTATCCAATTTGAATCATTAAAACATGATTATAATCGAAAACTACATTATATTTGCTAAATGCTTACAAATTTGCATGCCAATTGTATAATGCATTCCAAGGTTATAGCCAATTTTATTTAGCTAGCGTGGGGGTTGCCAATACTTTTTCCATTGACTGTATCTGGCCTTTTTTTCTATTAAATTTTTTGCCAACGGTGAAAAGTCTGAAATACTTTTTGCACGAAAATTGGCGCGTACCACGATCAACCTGTGGCCGTCACGAGTTATGTCTTGTCTAATTGCCCGTGGACGAAATCTTGACAAAGAAGTTATGATTTCTAAACAATATTAATACCTTGTTAATCCATAAAAATTTCGAACAGATAGCTCTAATACTTTGGGATTTATTACCGGAAATGCATTCATGAGAACTTATGACCCCACTATGTACATATGTACATACAACATCTAGGAAGGTAATGGGAATGGGAATGGGAAAGTACTTATTTATAGTACACATGGACTGATCTATAATGTACAAATATATAATAAGTATGCTTAATGTCAGTGTATTTGATAATTCTTAATATCATGGGCTTGTCGTCGGGTGTTAGTGCAATTATCATAATCCCACTAATTGTGCAAACTTCGCAGCAAGCTATGCACTTTTCTCCCCCGTTCTTCCCGAGGTACGCCCAGTTTCATAAAATATTTCATCCAACCAAGTCTTATCAACTTTGTATAAACAAATTTGAATCCTAGATAAAATGGAAGTTTTCCAATTTTCAAAATTTTCAAAATTATCCATCATATTTTTATTTTCTGTCCTATATGTCCACTCCGCCCTAGGAAGAATCCCGATATCCTACAGCGTTCTCCCAATCACGGAAAGTTTAACCTTCATCGCGGCTGAGACAACGTTGCAATTTAACGATTCTTGCAAATGGGGAGACGAACTAAAGCAACGCGACGGATTTCGAAAGATACAGAATTTGACGATGGGCAGTGACGAGGAGCAGGTCATTCTGCACGAATCCATAAAACAAACGGAACAACAGGGCGTCTTTTTTTGCGGAGATGTCCGAATGCTTGTCTGCAACCAGGAGACAAGTAGATGCGTTTGTGGACAGACCCAGGCAGCGGTACATAAAATATTTTATAGAATTTAGAAAATTATTATTGAGCGTGTATCTACACGACAATATCTTACTGCGACTCATATAGCTATCTAATTTGCGAAGTTCAAAAATTTTTTATTGTGCGGGGATTCGCAAAATTTAATTTGACAAATCTGTGCAAACAGTTCTGTTATCATATTTTAATTTTCATGGATTATTTGCAATTTCTAAAGCATTTCATAGAGATGATTTCACGAATAATCTTGCGAAATATACAAACATGCCCCTTTGCTAGGTAAATTTACGGAAACAATTGTTTCGTTTTACAGCAACATCTTTGCAAAATCTCGTAAATTTCGCAACTTAAATATGTTACAATTTCCGAGATCCAAATGTCGACGTGAGTACGCTCATTATTTTTAAATATGTAGGTATCTTTAAATTGAAACAGAAAGCCCTTGTAATCTGTACTCAAGTTAAAAAGCTTTGACATATTTTTAACCTGTGTGAAAATTCTCGGTTAACTTAAGAAAAACTAGTTTCTTCCAAATTTTATAAATAATTCCATTGACATTATTCAGTGATATTTATTTGCTATTCAACATAAAGATTGAGACCTGATACCAATACTCAAAATTTTGATGGACGTACATATATAAAAATTAGTGTTTACTTTCCAATTTTCATAATTTTGAGGACAGAATATTCTATGCAAATAGGTCGTTCAAGGCGACGCCTACAAGCCTTCGGCCTATATCACGGAACAGGACGGCAATGGCGAAACGGTGTGTCGATGGGGCGAATCGACGCATTGTATCCCACCTGGAAACAAGTACAACGAGGGCCTTAATTTCTACAATGTCGAGCTGCCCCCACTCCAATGTGCTCACGGATTGGAATGTTTATCCTCGAAGGATGGTGTCAAATGCAGTAATGAAACGGTGAAAGGATACTTTGAAGATAAATTTGGTAAGGAAAATAAACCCGTGACGAACGGACTGCTCTGGGAAGAATTGTTGTCCGGAAAGATTTGCACGTGCGGAAAATTAAAAACAACATAATTTTCAAAAACTGAAATTGATGGAAATAAAAAAAGTTTATTAATATAAATAATACTATTTAGGAAATATTGCTTCCCATAACAAAGTCATTTTTAGGCCTTTTAAGATGGCCTTATAGATTTACCAAGAGGTTTGTCTGTCCGTCCGTCTGTGCGCACGATAACTCTCTTTAAACACAAGCTATCGACTTGAAATTTTGCACACTTCATCTTCGGGTCAAAAGTAAGGATGAGTTCGGAGATGGGCATGATCGGCCAAGTAGTTGGCCAGTGGGGGTCTTTTCCACCCAAATGTGTTGCCATTAACTACCAAGATGGTATAATGCCATCTTAAAAGGCCCCGCAAAGTTGCTTGGAGTAGGTTTTATACATAGTTCTGAAATCGTTAAGCGGTCACATGATGTGACTCACACTCACATCAAGAACATTTTACATGTCACGGATCAAATTGAATTTTTTCAACTTATTCGACATATTTACTATTATTTAAGTCATAAATAAAAAACAACGTATCGTATCTTCCACCGAAAATAGGACGAGAAACTTATCCAGAATTACCTAAAACCAAAAATTAACTTACTAAAATAACCAAATCTCATATCTGTTCGAAATTTGTAACACTTACCGCTTTCAAAAAAATTATATCCCATCAATGTCATTTTGTCTAAAATATGAGGTCCAAAAATCCGGGCCGGTTCCAAACATCCAAACGCCACGATGAAATCATGTTTCACAATTTCAATCCACTTCTTAATAAATGATGCACTCGACGCCCCATTGGTCAAATGAACCCACAAGATGGTCATGGATGAAAATACTGCAGGCAAAGGCATGACGGTCTCTTCAGTGACGAAGTGAACCTAAATACATATTTGAATACATAAATACTGATATTTACTGATATTTTGTCGGATTAAAAATATTGAATGCAACCTTTTCCAAGATGGTCAAAGCTTCTCGGTACATCTCCAATGCGACGAGTCTTGTAGATAGCCCCATAAATACTGGATCCATTAAGAACACATCCAACTTTGGATTCACTTTTTGTAGCGAATCCAACTCTACAATATTTCTTATAATTTTTTTGGCCATTTTTGGATTCAAATAGTTCCCTTGCACCGAACGTCGAATGGATTCCAAGACCTGCTTTCTCCGTTCCGTGATTAATGATCCGTCCTCCTTCCCCTGAAGCTCACAGAGGAGGCAGGTGCACGTGAATTCATACTCTCTAAAAAGGGCCGTCCTCTCTGGGAAATCATTGTCCGGATTGATGTACGCAATGAGGACCTCGTCCCCCTCTGAAATTGGTCTCGCGGCACGAACGAACATGAAATCTCCGTAAATATACCAGGACGCGTTGGCCTCGGAACATGAGTGATTAATGAAGGCCGGGAGCGTCCAAATCCCGCTGATGTCCGCGGTCGTCCCGAGATTCCGGGGGGAGAAACTGTTGAACGTTACGATCCGATAGATCTCCTGGACCGTTTGGAGGTCACCTTCTTTCTGGAACGGACGCAAATCTTCTTCCGCTCCAGAGAAAAGGTCGCGAAATTCCTGACTTAATTCGTTTTCGAGTGCGATTTTCTGCATAATCTTTTTCGTGATTTCTAATTTGGCGTCAGTCGCGTCAGTATCTTGATCGGGTTTGTGGTAGGCAAATGCTTTGCAGCACATGAGGAGCTCGCCAGCCTTGAAGGATTTCTTTGCCACGGTTCCAAAACCCTTTCCTGAAATCTCGGTGATTTGCAAGTACCCGAAAAATTCACCAATGTCGGGATTTTTGTGGTCATCTTCACACGTCTTGATAATGTTGACCATGTCGTAGATCCCAGTCTTACTGTGGATGTGTAATTGTTCCCCCAGATTTACCAGGTCGGACAGCGCGGTTTCCTTTCTCAGGTGTGGGAATGTTTTGAATTTGTTTATCAAAAATGTTAATCCTTTCTCGTATTTGCAGAGCCCCCAGAGAGCTCGAACGTGTCGGTAGATTCCTTTCATATGGCTGGAATCCTGCTCCAGAACGGCGGCAGTATCGATAAGGGCGACCCGATAGCAACCAATTTTGATATAAGTGGCGGCTCGATTCGATAAGAGGTCAATTTTCAGAATGACGTCTTGAGAAAGATCCAGTGCATTTGTGTAGAAGAGAATCGCGTCAAAATATTTCTGCTCGATGAATGCCTTATTCCCCGAGTTTTTTGCGGCGATGGCTTTCACTTCATTATCTGCCGAATTGATAACCCCGTTCCAGGAAAGAGTTGGAAATGTGGTGGCAAAAGTTGCTTCCGAAATGGGGATTATGTTGGCAGGTTGGTCGCATTGAAGGATAAGACCGCCATCCCGGCCCACCTTGAGGAGGGGGTTCATCACCGACAGGATTAATCCGACGGGGAGGAGAGACCTCAAATTGTCACCGGTCAGGTCGGAATAGTTGTAGAGGGCGAGTCGAACTGCGTTTTCACCTTCGGGGTCCTCCACAATTAGCAGGATTCCCAACGTCGCCGAGGGGGGAGCGATTACACGACAGAGGAAGAATTTGTCGGTAATTGTGTGGTTTAAATGGGCGAGCAAGGTAGCAATGTTGACACGGTTTTCCTCGAGGAGTTTTATTCCACTGTCGGGGTACGTGGGTATGGAAGGGACAAAATCCGTTGAATTGGGAACATCATCGGCATTTTCCAGCTGGACAAAACGTTCTTGATATGTCAAGAGGTGAGCCTTGCTAAGCCATAAGTGGTATTTTAATGAGCGTGTTATTGTGGGGCCGCTGGAACTATGACCACGTCCAACAGGCCGCCCCAAGTTGGCGAAAGATTTGACCATGTCTTCCATCTAAAAATACACATACATAATTCATGAGGTAAAAATTAAAAATGCATTAATGCTAAATGCGCAAGTTGGACTTGCTGGTTGAATTGATAAGCTCTATCCTACATACATTTATTTGAACTTGTACAATGGCAAATTTCAAATTCTTGCGGTGTGGAAGATTTTGAGGATAGCCTAAATAATGTAAACATTGTGTAATTCACGTAAACCAAATTAATACAATAGTTGAAAATTTAGCTTAAATAGGTTTTCACCTCTTCTAACTACTTAATTTAATTTAAAATTCGAGACCACCTCACACGTCCATCATTATCGACAAGAGGTCACACTGTCACAGGTTTCCGAGTGAGAAGACAAATCTGAAACAGAGGGAACAGATTAATTAAATTGGGCCCAGATTTTTGTTTAACCATCTTTTAATTAGTTGTAATTACGTTACACTGCGAAACAATGTCAAATTTTGTAAAAAAAAAAGTGGAGAAGAAAATAATATCAACAAAACAAACATCACCTGTTCACTGTTTGCAGCCTGGTTTTATACCCGGTAGTCAAGTTTGAATTTCCTTTAAATATTGGGGTAGCGTGCGCCTCAGTTGAGGTATTACAGTTGAAAAGGTCAAAATTTGACCTTTTAAGCATAAGGTTAAAATCTCATCAAATCGTTACCCTATCATAAGATTACGATTTGATGTCCTATGGATCCCAGATAACAGGTCGCTATGAATTCGCTTAGAGAATTCGCAGAGAATGTCGCGCAAAAACAGAGAACTCGAATTCTCTCAGATTTCTTTATTATTATCGTATCGAACTCGCATCGAATTCGGTAACTATTTTTATTTAAATTCGATATTAAGCTCATTTCAGAATTCGTAATGAATTAGACTCGAATTCTTAGAGAATTCATCTATAGAATTCGATACGACTTCACTATGAATTCTTATATTAATTCGCTGTTATTGTAGTGAGGAATTCTCCCCGATTTCGATAGGATTTCTTCTTACAGGAATGGGAGACTATAAACTGTTCGCCTTGAATCTCGAATTCGTAAATAATTCTCAGAGAATTCACTGTGATTTCTCTCTTTCACGCTTTTATTGTATTTTTAAGTAATTTTAGCTGCCACATTCAAATCGTTCCTCATGGGAAGGAGACGACTTTTTCAGTTGAGTGCTCGCCACAAAAGAAGACTTTTAAAAAAACCAAGTGAAATTTTCGAGGAAAATTTAAGTAACGACCTAGTCCAGGCCGAAGAAGAAAACATTTATTCAGAACAAGCGTTCGAGGAAGATCTGGAAGAAAGTGAAGTCGAAAGTAACACGAGTGAAGTAAGTTCAGCTGAAAAATTTAGCTCGGAAAGTGAGGGTGAAATTAATACTTTTGATATTAGACATAGTATCCAAAATTGGTCCCTTGAATTTAAAATTCCTCATAATGCAATTTCAAGTTTATTAAAAATTTTAAATGAACACGAGTGCTTCAATTACTTGCCATTAGACGCCAGAACTCTTTTAAAAACGCCAACGTTTACTCCGATAAAACAAGTTTCTCCTGGGCGATATTGTCATATAGGATTGACTAATGCAGTTAAAAAAAATTTTAGTTAAAATAATCTGCCATCAAAAATCGAACTGCTTTTTAATATTGATGGATTGCCAATACATAATAGTTCCACCTCCCAACTCTGGCCAATTCTTTGCAGTGCAGTTAATTATTCGAAGGTTTTTGTGGTAGGTATTTATGAAGGACACAGTAAGCCAGATGATGTAAATGAGTTCTTGCAAGACTTTGTTGATGAGGCAATAGAATTGACTAAATCAGGATTTTCTCAAGACGGTCGCAGTGCTCAAATAATTATTAAAGGATTTATCTGCGATGCTCCGGCCAGAGCCTTTATTACCTGCATAAAAAGCCACACAGGATACTATGGTTGTGGAAAATGCTCAGCAAAAGGCAAACATCTTGAAAACCGTGTTGTTCTTCTTAAATCAGATGCAGAATTACGGACAGATACATCATTTAGATCAAAAATTCAACCCCAGCATCATACGGGATTTTCAATTCTTGAGAAACTACCCGTAGATATGGTGGGTGGATTTCCTTATGAATACATGCATCTTATACTTTTGGGCGTGACAAGAAAATTGCTTAGATTGTGGACCGCTAGCAAATTTTCCAGTTTCAAACTTTCTCCACGAATAATTAAAAAAATATCAACGCACATTTCTTTTGTACACAGGAATTATAGTGCTTCCGAAATACCTTCCAGAAAATCACTATAAACTATTTTTGTGCCTATCGATTTCAATAAGAATTTTGTGCACAAATTCATCAGAAAGAAATATTTGCTATGCAGACTCACTATTAAAGTATTTTGTAGAAGAGTTTAAACTATTATACAGAAAACATAACGTATCCTATAATGTTCATGGGCTATTACATCTTGCTGATGACGTAAGATATTTTGGAAATTTGGATTTATTCAGTGCGTTTAAGTTTGAAAGCAAGCTTGGAGATATTAAAAGGTTCATAAGAAAATCATCATTAACTCTATCACAATTACATCATCGCCTCTATGAACAAGATCAAATCTCGCATGAGGCAAGAAGTTCTGAAAAAATAATTATAATGGGAAAATTAAATCCTGATAATACATACCAGAATATTAAATGTGATACGTTTCTAATTGCCCCAACCATAAAGAATGGCATCTTTCAAGTTCGAACTGGTGATGTTGTACAAGTGAAAAATATTACTCAGTCGTCTAACAATGATAATATTGTGCTAGAAGGTCAAATTATTTTTATCACTGACGAATTTAGTTCCCCGTGTCTGTCATCAAAGTTGGGAATTTATACTTCAAATTTAAACGAAATAATAAGTGACACAATATGTCTTTCTATTTCAGACATTAAAAGTAAGTGTGTGTGTATGCCAAAATCTCGTGATTCGTATATTGTGTTCCCGTTGTTACATACACAACCCAAAAAATGAGTCGCTTCGCTATTGTCAAATTCCCAAAAGAAAATAATGCCGTCGCAGTAGTCCCTAAATCATGGTTGAAGGACGATTGTTGTTATTGGCCGCCCAGAGGAGCTGACTCAGGCAAAATGGCGAAAAAAGATACAGCTCCAGATACTGATAAGTGGTCAAAATGTGAAGCGATTGTGATACAATATTTTGGTATGTAAAAAATACTTCATTGGCTTATATTTGTACTATTCATTGCAACAAACTAATCAATTCATTTTTAAATTTGCCTAGACGACTATAAGGATGCCAGAAAAAATTTGAATCCAGCAACAATTTCATCCGATCTGGATTCCAATGACTCAGTCCGTAAGGAAAAGCCGACCCATGAACTTCCCCTCCCGGATTTAGATGAGGACGTTAACGGACAAGATGACATGGGAGGAAATTCATTAATTGCTAATGACGATCATCAGGGGGGGTCATCTTCATTTGTTTATATTATTGACGTGCAAAAGGAAGAGAAATCAACTCAAACCGCAGAATTTCAAGATACTGAAAAGCGTAATTTTTTTGGTTGATGATTTTAATGCCCATTGCTATTTAAATGGTGTTTATTTAATGTCGAATTTATTTTTCAGTTTTCTCGCGAATAGATGCCATTGATTTGAAACTAAAGGAAATCATTCAGATGCTAGTACCAATTTTAGCTAGTAAACAAGTTCCAATTTCTGCAGAAGCTTGCCCAGAAATAAATAGCCTAAATTTTCCATTAAAATCAGAGGAAGAATTAACTAACTTTTCCGAGCTTTTGCTTTCAATTTCCCAAGCTGCACCAACTATGGTATTATACCTCTTTAAAATTATTTAAACTAAATAATGTTATTACGTTTAATTATATTAATGATTATGTGAATTTCTATTTTGATTCAGATTGAAAAATTAAAATCTGCTGGTGGATCTGAAGTGGCTACCGTGGTCGAGAGTATTCTCAAGAAGCTGATGACTGATGAGTTGCAAGCTAAGTATAGTCTTTACGGAGCAAAGGGAAAGAACTCTTTGGTGAAAGTTAAGGGGTTAAGACAACTCATTAAAGGTATTTTAGCATCTAATTAAGCAACACTCTAAAACATCTAAAAAAATATGTTAATCTCAGATGCGGTGGCAGCTCACCCTAGGACTCCAAATTATCCAGACGAGGGCACAGTTGACGAGGAAATACAAAAATCCCTTAAGAAAGTCGCAGATAGAGTTGGGAAGCGTATGAGGTACAAAATACTATCGATAATAACTGTTGCAAAAGATTTTAGAAATAATATTAGTATATTTTCAATAGGAAGTGACTTGACGTCGAGGCAAATTTCACGACCCGGGTCATCTGATTATTCAACTTATATTAATTTTAATACAACCATGTCAGGCCAAAATGAAACATGTTTTTTTTCTGATAGGGGCGATCAATCTTTTGATGACACACTCTTTCAAATATATAAAGCCCAAAATTCATCGTCTTGGTGGAAGCGAATAGATTTGAGACGCTCCCATTTTTGTCGATTCCCACCCATTTTTATGTATTTTATTGGCAATTTTTCTTGGGTTTGAATTTATATTTTGAACGAAGGTCATTTTTACTCACATGAGTGAGTAGAACTTTACACGATTGACGCTTCGAGGTCAGCGGAGAAGTAGTTTTCATCATCCATGACGTCAAATTTCTGGGAGTCGATTTTAACATTTTCTCAACAAGTTTTCCACAAATTGCTTTGGCTCATCCTTTTTTAACTTCATTGTATTTTGGCGCGGTTTTTGTTTTGTAAGTTTTGAAGCCCACCTTATTGGGTTTGATCTTGCTAAGATAGATAAGTTTCTGAAATTTTTACTTGTCTGGGTGTGACCCTCACGGATATGTTGGGGTTGCCTCCAAAAGATTTTTTCACGTTTCTCGTCAGTATATCGGTCTAATGGCGGACAGGTAGGCAAAGCCAAATTTTATATTTGCATTTTCACGATCCTTAGATATCTCTACTAGAGATTCTCTAGTGTATGACTAATTTTGTCCAGGTCATCCCCTGAAGAATGAAGTGGTGACGAGTCCTTTTCTGATTCGAGAAAAATACTTTTTTGACCGAGTGGCAAACTAATTTTTCCACTTCCTCCAAATTTTGTGCTGTCATTTCACTCATCACAAAACAATTCCGGATTTATAGTTGCAATTTTCTAGCTGTCGGTTGTTTTGGGCGTCATTTTCTCCTTGTGCAAACCATAGCTCGCAATGAACCATGGTCCACTGGACCAAAATTTTCCATCATGGACCATGGACCACAATTGTCCATGGTCCATCTGGACCATGGACCATGGACCACAAAAAAATTGGTCCATCGATGGACCATGGACCATGGACCATTTTTCAAGTGGTCCATCGATGGACCATGGACCATGGACCATTTTTTAGATTGTCCATCGATGGACCATGGACCATGGACCATTTTTCAAGTGGTCCATCGATGGACCATGGACCATGGACCATTTTTTAGATTGTCCATCGATGGACCATGGACCATGGACCATTTTTCAAGTGGTCCATCGATGGACCATGGACCATTTTTTAGATTGTCCATCGATGGACCATGGACCATGGACCAATTTTCAGATGGTCCATCGATGGACCATGGACCATGGATCATGGACCATTTTTCAAGTGGTCCATCGATGGACCATTTTTCAAGTGGTCCATCGATGGACCATGGACCATGGACCATTTGTGATGGACCATGGACCATGGACCATTTGTGATGGACCATGGACCAATTTATTGGGAGCTATGGTGCAAACAAGTTCAAAACCAGGTAACGCAAATGACTAATAAACCATTGCAAACGAAATGTAGCAAAAGGGTCACCCGATCTCGGGTACAAGTGACAAGAAGTTGTCACTTTAACACAATTGATTTAATTAAAAAAAACCTTAATCTAGATTTAACTCACAAGGGACACTCACGACCTGTCGTTTGAGTCCAGGGTACCCACTATGTTTTTTAGAATTTACTAGGACCCCCGATGAAGGATTCATTCATATTTCCGTGTAAAACTCATATTTGGCGACGTGGCGTGGCGCCAAATTCGCCAAAATTGAATGTTTTTATTTTTGAAACCGCCATAACTTTTGAAATCCTGGACGGATTTTCAAAATTTTTGGCAAAAATCATGACAAGGAGTTCAACTTTCTTATTCCATGAAATTTTTTCTAAAATTATCGCTTTTAACTTTTCGCAAACTTTTCGGGTTGTTTGACTGGTACGTGGGGTCTGACTTTGTCGCCACTTCATTCACCAGTTTGACCGATAATTCCAACTTTATGGTCAACATTGCTTTGTGGGCGGATGGAAAGAGGGGCTTCACGGTGGGGTCACCCTACAAGAAATTGAGCCAGGATATCTTGCACGTTGTGGAGAAGCATTTAATCGAGGAGGGATTTCAAAAGGAATATTTCGTCTATTTGGATTACGACCTGTGTTGAAGTGATCATGATTGTTTTTTATGCAAAAATTGTTGTTCTAGTTCGATTACTTAGGTTTTGGCATTTCAAGTCATCAACTTGTTAATCAACACAAAAATATTTGACTAAATTAAATCCAAAATTTAAACAATTGTCAACAATTGACAAACCTGGTCCAGTCTGAAGCCAAGCATTTGGAAAATATGGTAATAAAAAAAGACATGAACTTTCAATGAGTTGCAAATTTATTCCTGTTGTCAAATAATCTTTTCACCGAGCTATCCTTAACACGAGACTCTGTAACGAGGCAAACTGAAAAACTAATTACTTTTCACCAACGCAAAAATCCTGACGCCATGGGTCGTTTTCAGTTAGAAATTTGCCACGATCTGCTTAGAGGAATGAAATATTTGCACTCCAAACAAATTTTACACTGTGACTTGAAGCCGGATAATATTTTATTTACCATGTTTGCAGTTAACTCGTTGGAGAAATTTTGACGAAAATGGGAAGCACAGATTTTTTAAAATCCCGTGGCTTGTCCATGACTTTTGATGCAAGTATGAAAAATAAATTTTGCATGTACGGCAGGGAAAATCTGCGCTATCAAGCGCCCAAGGTGTGACTTGGTGAGGAAAAAACGACCCTCAGCTCGGAAATTTACTCGATAGGTTTAATCATTTTGGAAGTTTTGTTCCCATGCGATCAGAATTGAGCGATCTGGCAGAAAAATTGGTTGTGAATTATGGATGAAATAGCTGTACAAGAAGTGATATTTGGATTGAGATCATTTCTGCAAAGTGAGGAAAAGGACAGGATGACGGTACAAGAGTTTCAAATGTTTGATCTAGACTGGCTACATTTGCATAATTTCGGTCGGGTCAAAGTGCAAGAAAGACTTAGAGAAATTCTTGGACAAGCGGAATGATTTTATTAATTGTATCGAAATCAACTTTATTTCATAATAATAGCAATTAACACATTTCACTTATCTAAATGTATTGAATCAATCTTAAATATGTATGTTGCTTATTGCACAGTAATAAATAAGCCATGTATAATTTATTACGTTTTACTTCATTTTTTTGGTTAAGTTAGATTAATTTGTAGTTTGGAATATTTGCAGAAATTTCATGTATATACATAAGTATGGACATGACATCCACGGCTTCATCATTAGGAAAATTTTTCTCAAATTAGTTGAAAAATTAAATTTTATGGATTTGCACCACAATTAAATTAAAACAAATCCTAATCAATTCGAAGAACGTGTTGAACAAAAATGGAACATATAAAATTGAAAAGGAAAGCATACTTACTTAGGTATATCAAACCGCTTCAACTTCGAGCATCTCAATAAAACCGCACGCCAGACCTAGTCCCACCCCTTCTGGTCGTGTTACCTCAACTTGAAGAAAATTTCCTAAAGTCGTAAACTCTCCATAATTTGTGACCACTCGGTTGAACATGTTTGCAGGGAACACGTCTTCGTTCAGGTTCAAATTAACTCGATCAGTTTGGCTGTAATTTCTGCGATAGTTGTAGTAGACCTGACCAGATAAGGTCACCACGAGTTTAGTCCAACCGTCCTGCTGCACCATTTGGTAGGGTGGTTTCAAGCAAATTTTCAAATGGTCCTGTTCACCTGTCGCGCAAATTTCGTTGTCGAGCTTACACTCCGATTCACTCCCATTGGAAATTGACAATGTGGCTTGCACTAAATCGTACAAATATTTCGAGCTAGTGCTGTTAACTTGCAAAATTGTTGTGGGAACCGAAATGGACTTGAGGAAAACATTTTCACTGGCACGAATCCTGAGAAACAATTACAGCCAAAGTAAATACTTGTCTGTATATTATCAAGTTTTATTGACTATTTAATAACCAAAGCTGTGCTTGTACATATATGTACTTAACTCGTTGGTAACTTGCGGCATAGTTAAATTATAATAAAATTGGCACTATAAGTTACCAAGGAGTGGCATAAAAAAACTGTTACAAACTTGAGCAGCGATCCGGACAGATGAAGAGATGCGCAAAATTCGCAAATCTTTGAATACGAATAGATGTTCAAATACTTACATTATTGTCTCTGTGCCATTTGCATTTCCGAATGAATCGACGTTATCAATTGATCTTTCGTTGCCAGCAACGGCGCGAGTAATGACTGTCTCTCCACTAATGAAGTTGCGAGGGCTTGATACAAATCGACCAGGTGGAAGCATGTTTCTGTGCATGGTGCAGATATTAAATTCCAAATTGGCAGATAGATAATGAAATTCTAATTACCTCCTCTTCGGTGGAACGAGGAAACAGGTGACCAGTTCCATTGACTCATCCATGTTAAGAAGCTTCTTAGAAGTCACGTTCAGAGCAAATTCGGCAGGGTCCATTAGTGGGAAGCGGACGTGGCTCAACGGTTTGCGAGACAGGTTTTAAGATTCTCGACGTTTGCAGGATCCAAATTTTTTCGAGTGCACTCGGCCACACCCCACCTGGATTGATAAGTATACTTTAATTTACAAAATTAACTAAGGAGGGGATTCACTATTTCTTACGTATGGTTCGTATCGCAAAATAGTTTCGAAAAAAACCTATAGGTCAAACTTAGTAGCGCAATTTATGATGACAAAATCTTTCGACGCTTACAAAATCGCGTAACCGTCGTAACTTATTTTACGATACGAAGAACACTAAAGGATGATACACAAAGGAATGATAAATATGATTATGATTATTTCTCACCGATGTACTGCCTCAAAAACCTTCATTTCATTCAAAACTTTAAGCGAGTCCTGTTGTATTATTTCTACCAGACATTCTAAACGTAGCTTGGCGAAGTCCTCGCATTTCAGGATTGTCGCGGAATTCCTACGTTCCGTACGAAAAATTAAAAACAATGTGAAAAAACCAGAGTTCGATAGCGGTCCAAATTAATTATGGATAATCATACTCGCAAATAAAGTTCAGCGTGGACTGAATAAAATCCCCGTGAGCGTATTCCATCCCACTTTGGAACAAGGCGAGCACATTGTCGAGGGACAAGTCCCCCTTCAAAACAGTCGCACACTCGTCCCTTAACCCGGAAACTTCATACTCCGTAGCGAGCTGCATTAGTTCCAAGGCGTCGACCATTTCCACGTTTGATTTCCCAGTGTAAAAATACTGGAAATAAAATAATAACGTCGTAAATGGTGAGTAATTCCATACGTATAAAAACGACAAGCTTATTTAATTATTCACCTGGAGAAGAATTTTAAAAATACGGGTGTCCACATTGTCAATAATTAGCTCTTCGGTGGACTTGGTTATCTTGCCATTTAGCACTTGCGACCCAGCCTGGAGGAAGATTCGATGGACCGGAACCTATTTATTTATTTATAGTAGACCATAAATTAATAAGATATAACTTATTAAGTACATACAAATTGTTTATAATAGCTAATTAATTTTTACTAATTAACGTCGACCAACCTTTAACCCTTCTTGACCCAGGACAAGGATCAGATCACTTTGGAATCCGGTCATGAGTAGATTTTGCAGTCGTTGGTCGTGACATCCAATCCATTCCCATGCGGAAACGTCATTTCCGTTTCTTGGAATAGCTCCATTGTCGCCCATATCGCCAATTATTACCTTACTCTCGAATTAATCTACCTACTTAATTAAAAGAGGATTTAATGTTAAGTTTTAAGTTTTAACCGAAACTCGAAATTAAATTTAACAGTTAAATTAAATCGTATGCATGTACAGACTGAAGTATCACTATTACTTATTGCTTCTTACTGCAATAATTATTCAAAGTTGAATTAAATGTGAAACTTTTCTAAAATAATTAATTTGCTTTGTGCTTACTATTAGTTGAAGTTAAATATGCATTTCTTGAAGGGGAGTGAAAGATGACAGATGCATTTTTATGTAAAAGATAAAAAATATACATATTATGTAGACATATGTATTATGCATATTGCATAGCAGCCGCATCCTCTTTGTTCACTTTTTGCATGGAAAAGTATTAATTACCGAAGCTGCTATCGAAGTAAGTGTGCACGAATTAGCGATATTAAACTCCAGATTTTTGAATAAGGACGAAATTACTAAATTAGTAGTCCTAGATAAATAAGTCAATATGTGTAAAGTGAGTAGAATTATTGCATGCAATCATGCAAGTTGCATGATTCATTATTCTAAAATAATTTATGATAAATATGTAAATGAGCTCTATTTTGACTATGCACAAACCACTGCAACCTACAAAACAACATTATAAATTCAGAAATCTAATTTTTCTAATCTATTTTCCTAATAAATCCAACAGATTGTATACGGTTGACAGTAATTTTAGTATAAAATTTAGCATGATGAAACTAGAGAAATGAACGTCTATTCTGCATGTGTGAATATCTGGCTAAATTACTTATTTATATTGCGGTGTACTGATGTAAGGAAACAAAATACTATGAATTTAATAATTTTTCAGTTGGGAAATAAATGACACCTGAGATACATAGATTTAAATTGAAGGAATTATATTTATGACTTCATTCTCATTGGTACATATGTTAAATTTTTGTACTATGTCGTAATAAGCATTCAATTATGTGTTCATTAGTTAATTAACAGTTCGACTTATTCAAAACGTTTGAATTACAAAAATACTTTTACATAAATATATGTGTGTTATTCAATAACGGAACTTTAATTTTCTGAGAGACAAATATAAATAGATCATTTCTTCTTCATAAATAGTTGGCATTTAATATTTATAACATAAAGTGTCTTGGGTGAAATACATAAATTAATTATTATCAAAAGTAACATCACACACTTGCACCTGATTATCTGAGCTAATGACTTACAATTAAGGTACAAAACTGTAGAGAAAATAAGTTTCTGTAAAAAAATTGGTTGATTATTCCTCCTCCACGTTATTATGACTGGGACGCCGCGATCTTTTTGTAAGCTGCCATGTCCTACAAAAATCAGGCCATTGTAATATTTTCATACATCTCCCCTCAGAGATTATCTTACTGAACTTACCGCATGGTAACGTTCTTTGTCCCTTTGCGCCATAATTTCGTATTTTTGCCTAGTTTCGGCATCAGCCTGGCCCCACAATCGTCCCAGTTCTTTGGCACTCTCGCTCATCCCGTAGTCCGGAAACTGCTCCTTCACTTTGGGCCGCTCGTCGTGGCAAAACCAAAAAAAAGCGGAGAGAGATCTTTTCGGTGCGAGGGGATCTTTCCGGCGGCGCTGGCAACGTTTCTTCTCGACCATGAAGGATGGATCGTATCTGTGCATTTCCTCCTCAAATCGAGCCTTGTCACGGTCAGACATCACGTGAAAAGGTTTCTTCTCCTGGTCGGACATGGTCTACAGAAACATATATCATTTCATAAATGTGTTCATCGAAGCAACTCACGCAGTCCTTGGTAACTTGTACAAAAATTTGTCAGCAAATTTTCCTTAGAAATATTTGTCGTAAAAGTTTATAAGTTTCCAGAATTTGCGGATTTTGCAAAGTTACCAAGGCTTGCGTGAATTGTCTAAGTTACAAAATAAGCGCATTATTAACGACCTTCCAGCGGTCCGCAGCTTTCCGAGAGAATTCAGAAAAAGCATAGCTCTTATCTGGAGCCGTTCTCATAACTTCTTCTCGGTATGCATGGACGAAGAAGGCGTACGCAGTGATGCGACCGCGCGGTTTCGAGATGTTTCTTGCTCGTCCTGGCATTTCTGGTTTGATTAGATTATGACGACTGAGGGGGACTTAATGTCCTTGCGAGAATAGATAAGTCTTCAACGGCGACGGGGAGAAATCAGTCGAGGGTCTGAAATTAATAGTGTTCATTAATGTATAGTTGTTGTTTTTTTAATTTATTTGTGACAATTTGACCTCAACTCTCTTACACGCCAAACGCTGACCAAATTTTGGATCTAAATTGACTAGATTTTGATTACCATTAGGCAAAAACTTTTTAAACCATTTAAACTTCAAACTTGTCTGGAAATATGAAAAATGTTGATTTAAATACTGCTGCCCACAATTATATTCGATAAGGATAAAATTGTACGTAAACTTACCAGATAATGCAACTACTACATACGTATGTAGGCTCTCACTTATTTTTCTTTGTAATTGACACGGAAATTATAAATCAATCGATTAATTAAACTAGCTTCCTGAAATTTCAGACTGCGATGAAAAGTCAGAGCAGATGACGACTGGCCGATTGCCGCTCTCTTTGTCCAAAACGTTTTTGCATGCAATGCTACTGGGCCTGACGTAAAGAATGTAGCTAATAATTTTTCAAAAATTCGGACTTACTACAAAAAATGATTATGCGAAATAAATAATTTCAAATAAGTGAGAATAAGCTGTTTTGATACCTTGAACGATTCTTTATTGTGATATATCACAAACCAAGAATTAAAAAATGCAACACCATGTGGAAAGATTTTGTGTCAAGACAGATAATTCACCTAAAATCAACGTCATGTTATCAAAATAAAAAAAGCGTCCCTTACAATGTTTGCATTTTCCGTGCAAATTTTATCGAATAAAAAGCGTCAAAAAAATGTGGAACGCTTCACGATTTTGCGTGTCATCCTTGCGCAGGGGCCATGCTAATCTTCTCTGTATCGTTCCAATTTTAGTATATGTCCTCCCGAAGGAGGACAAAGTTACTTGGAGGGCTCTTCATATTTATAATACACTTTTTCACCCTTTCAGTTCTCCAAACTTAATTTTAGTTTACACAATGTTATCATCATTGTCATATACATCAGCATATTCTAATTCCAATAATTACACAAGACAAGTTAAAGTGAGGCTAATTATGCATTAAAAGTATCAAAAATTGTTAAGATAAGCTTGAAAATTAGTAATAAGATGTTACCATTGTATGCAATGGAGTAATCAAGGTGTCCAAAACATAGCCCATGTGTTTGTAGGTTAGACGAGTTGAGACTTTTGGACAGCAGTGGAGAATTTTTGTGGGTGCAGGTTTTGCTATTGGGTAGCTCTCTTCGCACGTGGAAGCGCCCATGTAGCACGTGGTGAAAAAAGTGATTTTTTACAATAAGTAGTACTTAAGTAGTACTAGTACAATCATAGCTCGCAATAAATTGGTCCGTGGTCCATGGTCCATTGCGAGCTATGAGTACAATAAGTAATAAGTAGTATAAGTAGTATGGATCTGGGATGGTGGTGACGTAGATTGTGAATATATTTTCAGTTTTTCATATCTCGCATGACACGGATAGAGGGAGGATGCTTCCTGTTCATGAAACTGCGTTTCGGCGAAAGAATCCGATAAGCATGAAAACTTTGTTTGAAAATTGTAACATTTTTATCAAACTTGATGAATAAATTTGATAAATTGTTAAAACACCCCTTATGCAGTTTTTTAGAAAAGCATGTTGACTAAATTAACTTGTTAATTAACGTTGATACATACGCATGTATTTCGATGGTCAAGGACATGCAATTCCATTTTTTCGTTTAATATATGTAAGTTTTTATTATAAGTAGTGAGCTATCATTATAGAACGAAAATTTCCATATGAGAGAGCACTGAAATTAAACGGATTCAAAATTACCTACATATAATCTTCAGGAATTGATCGCTCACTACAACAAAAAATCTACGTACATACATAAAATTATCTTATTTCAAGTTGTAAAAAACGACGCATCCCCTTGTTAAAGTTGATTAACATCTCCAACTCAACAGCTCGACGATATTTGTCCTCCTCCAAATGACGAGAGAAGGCTGTGAAATGTTTAAAATCCAAAACTTTCAAGGAATAACGCTGCAAACTTCGCAAACAACATTGGAGCATATCACGAATAAATATGCCGTTATTTTCTCGGCTCAAAATGTCTCGAAGAGTTTCATGATGGTCTTCCAAATAAGAAATTTCACAATATTGTTTCGCAAGTTGGAGAACTCTGTCGGACTGGATGTGGGCAAAGGTGACACTGTCAAACCTTTCGTAGTAGTCGGTCACGAAAATGTGACACATTTCTGGGTCAAAAAAGGAGTGAAATCGGCCGAAAATCGTGGTAATATAGGTATCCTCGATTTCTTCTTCGCGATCCTGAACATTGTTTCTAACGTAGGCCTCAATTCTTTCTGTAAATCATAGATAATATGTAAATTTTTGATTTAAATAATGATTCGACTTATGTATGCAACATAAATACCTGCACAGTCTTTGACTTCAATATAGCGGAGACAGTCCACTAAATTCCTTATCGTGGCAGTGCTACCATTAGCACTTGACCAGGCATCTATAATACTAGTGAATAGGTCAAATGGGGTCTGATTGACATTGAGCTGTACAAACTTGTGACCGTGAATTTCGGAAGGACCGAGGTATGCAACAAATCGAGACCAATCATTTACTATTATCGGATCGTTAATTAGAATATCCACTATTCTAGGTTTTTGCCTGGAAGAAATTTTGCAATCCATCGAGACGACGGTTGGCAGAGGATAGAATGAAGTTTGTAGTTGATGGTATAACTTTAGGGCATCATGGTAATATATGTATGTGGGATGTAAATATGCCTGTTGAAATGTTATCAGGCTCCGAATGGACAAGTGTTAAAGTGATAAGAGCTGATCTACAGGCATTTGTTTGTGACATGTTCATTACTAATTGGAGGTGGACGTTCAATCGCAAGGTCTGATTTGCAGCAGGCTCACGAATAAAAGTAGTGCGGTTAATGAGCCGAGCTGGCTGGCTCACCTCGATAGTAGACGAGCCGAGCTAAACCACTGGTTGGGCTTGATATTTTCCAGGAAGTAATTCTGAGCAAAATTTGGGTTTAACTTTAGAAATGGGGTTAAAATTCGAAAAGTTACAGCGTTTTTAAAAATCCAGATTTTGACTGAATTTTTTTAAAAATTCCGCAACGGGCGTAAACATGCCCTTTCAGGAAAACAAAAAAATATGGGTCCACTTATTTTTGAGTGTGAACAACTTAAAATTAGTCCGGTCGATAACTACCTCACACCATCGCATTGTCAGCTAAAAACCCGGTTCGCTCGCTTCGTGACTAGCACTGTTGATTTACTGGACAATTTCCTGCTTATCGTCAGTTCGTTATCATCGCCTCTCTTTGTCGTAGATAAGTTTTATGCTTCATTACCTTGTGACGACGTGTGTATGATCAGATCGTACATATGTGTGTAACATACGTATTTCGCTCTTTGCAAAATCGCACTATACGTGAATAAGCCATAACATAATTCCAGTGAATTAATTACATCAATATATTGATTTGAATTGAGGAAAAAATATAGATAATTCTTCAATAAGTCTTCAAGAATCTACAATCTTTGGAAATGGAGAGTTTCAAGTTGAAAAACTGTTTCCGAAAATTGGTCCCAATCATAGCAGACGAATTATCCGAGGTAATACATAAATAAAGGCAAATAGATTACAAGAAAAAATTGATACTCTTTTATCACAGGAGTATAATACCGATGACGACGGTACCCGTTTGTCCAAAGTATTCGACATTGATGCAAAATTTTCTTTACTATTCCAAAAACACAAAGATGTAAAACTGCGAACCCAAAAAATAATCCACTACTGGATCCTTATAAATGGGGGAAACCCAACAGTAACAGACCTTCTAACCTTACTGGACAGGAATGGGATGTCCAAGGCGAAAAGTAATTAAAAATACGTGCTTAAAAATTATTATGAGTTGGTAATTACATAGATAAAGGGAAAAAAATTTAGTTTATGAGAATGCATTGTCTGTCCGTATCCACAAAAACGCTTGTACCGATTTGATATTTACAAACGTGTTTCTATTTTTCGAAAGAAACTAAGTTCTAAGATGGGCGTTGTTGTAGGTAACAAGGTCCAAAATGTGAAAATTTAAACTTTTGCCGTTTTAGATATTTAGGCGATTTAAAATGCGATACCCCATTTCACATTTGGTTTCACCCCTTTGCTGCATTCGGTTTAAACGGTTTATTATTATTTAATTTTTAGACGCAATTTTGACAAAGATATCCATCGGCCGATCTGAATTATTGGACAACGACGGTGAGATTTAGCAATTAATTTTATCCAGCAGTTACTTTATGCTTTCCCCATTTTCTTCCAGAACCAGGACACATTTCGCGTCTGAAAGAAATTGCTGCAGCTTCCGAAATATTTTATGATAATCAAAGTCTTCTAGTCTATGGCGAAATTGGGGTCGGGAAAACGTATTTTGTTAAACGATTGCTAAAAATTGCCTTTCACGATAGTACACTAATTGGTCCTAAGGATATCATTGTTTGGCTGGACTTTACCAATTTCTTGAATTCTTTGGAAGAAACATGTTTGAATTTGGGAATTGATATGAAAGAAAGACAACCGTATGACTTAGTGACAGATTTCCTAAAAGCTCAACCGGATTTCGTAATTGTAGACGGGTTCAGTTTTACGCACGAACTGGGACTAAAATACCTCACACTGTGTCAAGACTTTCAGAAGGAGTTTTATTTTAAACTAATTGTAATCACTGACGATGAAAAATGCAGGACAGATTTTGATGTAATGGTTCAAATCAAACCATTCGACGAAGGACAGGTACTGAAATTTTTACCAGAATTGGGACACCTCTTGCATGAAATAACTGACCACTGGGATAGGAACGCAGCCGTCTTGAAGAGATTAAAGACGTTAATGAAAGAAGGGACACTAACTGAAGAAGGCTTGAAAATGCTGATCGGCCAAAACTTCAAAATTGGCAAGAAAGATACTGATTCAGATACAGGTGAGCTTATAGAAAATTAAAAACAACTAAAACAACACAATTTTTGATAATTATGTAAAGGTATCAGACACGCATATATAAATATGTACACTCTAAAAAAATTCGGTGACTAACGTGATGATGTAACCGAGCATTCCCACGTGGTGATTCCGCTAAAACCATTAAATAATCGTTATTTACGTACGTAGATGTGTCTCCTAAACTTGCACCCTGCGATGCAAAAATCATGGCGTCACCTATCCACGTGGGGGAGCCAGTTCAAATCGTTAATTTCAAACTCCTTCCCAATCAACCATCCCGACTAGTCTTGCACAAACAAAATCTGGAGCACATCCTACGACAGGTAGGAAACACTCCCATCTGCCTCATCTCCATCGCCGGTGCATCCCGTCAAGGTAAATCATTCCTCCTCACAGTCGTTCTAAACGCGCTTGAATGCTTATCTCGAGGACAAACCGAATACTGGAAGGATCTCGACCGGTTGAATAGCCTGAGCGGATTTCACTTCAAAAATGGCACTGAACGTGACACTGTTGGTTTGTGGTTATGGTCGAAGCCATTCTTCGTCACGAAATCGGATCGTACAAAAATTGCTGTCATGCTGATGGACACTCAAGGAGTTTTTGACGCCTACACGACGGAAAGGGACTGGGCGATGATTGTCGGTCTCAGCCTTATCACCTCTTCCTGCCTTATCTACAACTTATTCACCAACATCCAGGAAGATACGTTGAAAATATTTCATAATTTTGTCGAATTTGGAATGCTTTCACTAGAAGAGGATTCCACTGCTACGAGTGCTTTTCAAAAGCTCATCTTTCTCATACGGTATTATAAATATTTAATATATGCAAATTTGTCTAAAACGTAACACTAATCCATAGTTTTCGAGTAACATCTAAAACGACTGTAAAATTATAGAACATTGAAAAATAGTAAAATTACAAGAAAATTATCTATTGTAGGGACTGGAATTTTCCAAACACTCACGCATACGGACCGCTCGGTGGTTCCGACTTTCTCGAAAAGAAACTATCCGTGGAACCCAATATGCCACCGGAAGTTACCAAGGTGAGACAAACGCTGACCAAATGTTTTGAAGAAATTTCTTGCTTTCTCATGCCCAACCCGGGCGAGGCCGCAAAGGAAAATAACTTTTCCGGAGCTTTGAGTACTCTTAGTGAAGCATTTCGTGAAAATCTGCGCATCTTTGTGGACAATCTGATTACTTTTGATGATCTAAAACCAATCAAAATTGGCAAAAATATCATTGACGGAACCAGCCTGCTAAGTTACTTTGAAAAATACATTGAGGTTTTCAACGGGAAAACGATGCCACCACCAAAATCACTGTATCAAGCCATGGAGGAAGCCAGGTTGGGTTCAGCAATTACAAACTGCTGCGAACAGGCGAAGGAAAAATTGGAAACAGTTCTAAAATCATCTGAATACATTCCGAGCCATGAGTTCAAACTGTACTGCGACACTTTAGCACAATATAAGGCAATTTTGGCAGAGAAAACACAACAAACTCTTCTCGAACAAGAGTTGGAAGACATAATAGAATTTGAAAAGAAAAACGTTCTACTTAAAATTCGTCAAGATTTTGAAAGAATGGATGACGCATTTCAGAAGGAGGCTGAATCCAAAATCAAAGAGTTAGTGGACATAGAAAACACAGCAATTAGAGACCAAAATTCCACTAGATTTAAGGAAATTGAACGCATCTGTCAAATATTGCTCCACAATTGTACCCAGCAATACTACAGTCTTATGAACCTTGCTTTAGGAAGCGATCTAAAAAATGGCACACATGAAAAACTGAGGCAAACTCACAAGACGTGCGAATCCATGGTCCTTCCCAAATTCATGGGACCACTCGAAAACGAGTCACAAATAATCCGTGGCCACTTTCATCATCAATTTAACTCTGCAGTCAATCAGATTCTAGGACAATATGCAGAAAAATTCTGCTCAGCTCGAGATGGAGCGTCATCAGTTGCAACAAATTTGTACAAAGAATCGTTCAACGCTTACACGACAGCAATGACCGCACTGGCGGAGTCTGGCACCGCTTCGGAAACTGACCTCAAGATGGAGCACCAGTTCAGAGTTTTGGAAGCATGCCACAAATTGAACCAAATTCATATTATTTGCTCCCCAGAGGAGGGGAACGAGTTCGAAAACAATATGCGAGAAGAAACCACACACTTTTATGACAATCTTATCGCTGATATGCAAAAACATAGGGAACAATTCGTGCAAAATGCGGTAGAAGTTTACGATAGAGAAATTAAGAGTTTAGTCCATTCCCCGGCTGATGCACCATTGTCAAATGAGGATTTTGTAAATAAGCATGAAGAAATTCTTGGCAAAATTTTGAGCAAGGTCTCCGTGTCGGAGTGGATCACTGCTGAAAATCGTCCAACTGTAAAAACCCAAATCATCCGAGAGGTTCAAAATTCGTATCAAGTTGCGCAAGCCAGAAACAATTGCAACTTAGAACAGGCTGAATTGACAGCGTTAGAAAAATCTAAAACTTTCCTTGCCATGTATGATGTAAAAATGGATGCACTGATATCCAGAATTGTCCCACCCGTCCAGCAAACTGAGCTAGAAAGCACTCATAAAAATTTGGAACAAGAAATAAGAAGAATTATAATGCAGACGTTTGCAAATTTGCCAAAATACATTGCTGATTCAATCTTGGCAAAATTAAAGCAGGATATGAACAACAGTTTTGCAAACTTTAAGGAAAAATTGGACTTGAAAGCCAAACAAGATCAAGTAAAAATGTCACAACTAATTTCAGATCATGTAGAAATGTATGAGTCGGACATGAATAATTTAATTAGGACCTCAAAAAATATTACGGATGCAGAGCTGGTCAGATTCCATGAACGAAGTAAATCCACGAGTGTACGACAACTTGGCTATGTCCTTCGCCTGAAGGAAAATTTTGATCGCGAACAAGTGCAGAAAGAACTTGAGGAGAAAATTGAACAAGTTTTTTCCAAAATTCGCAAGGATACTTCCTATCTTCTCAAAAATATTGACGCCCAAATTTTCGAGCTGCGCAAAACTGCTAAAATTAAATACCAGAAAAAAATTAAAGAAAGACAAATCGATGCTCAAAATGAGGAGGAGGTGAGGAAAATACACGAAATCGTATTATCCAAAGTTTTAGACGAATTTGAACACAGTTTTGCAGAGATTGGAGATATGCAAAGGTTCCGGCAAGAGAAAGTTGCTCTGCAATCCGAACTCCAAGATTTACATAGAAAATTTGTCGATGATTTCCTTGAAACGAATCTCCAAAACGACAAGAAAATTAGACACGCAATTAACGATACCTTGGAGAGGTACAAGACACTGATACAATCTGAGTTGGACCGATATTATTGTGTGTCGGATACAAAATTGCAAACCCTACACGACCGTGTATTTTCCGACGTATTGAAACAATTTCAACAAACCGCAAAAATTCCTCTAAACTCAAATGCAAAAGTTTATGATGACCTGATTCGACAAAAAATTAACGAGGCTTTTAAATTATTCAAGAGTAAAAACATCGCCAAAAATGAATCCTTGCGAAATACCATTAAAGATCGAGTGGTCCAACTTTCCAAAAAATTTGAAGCCGAGCTCAACACAATAAATAAAGTGGATGACATGACTTTGAAGAAAACGACCGTGAAGTACATCAAATTATGCGTCGATTCTGTGACCAACGAATTTTATATTGATGACGATGCAAGTGTCGCTGCTTTATGTGAATCTCAAATGACGGATGCTTGTATGAATGTAATTGATACTTGGAAGCAAACTGAAGTCCCACATGCCGAGGCGGATTTCCATCTTCACAAAGCTAGAGATACCTATATAGATGAAATGGATAAAAGTATTTCCTCCCGTCCTGGAAAATTTTTACCTATGGCCGAGCTTCATAAAATCCATATCAAAGTCTCCACCCTGGTGAAGGACATATTCGAAAACAGTGTTCGACAAACTCCCAAAATTCAGCAGCGGTTTCACGACATGCTTCACGACCTATATCGAAAATATGATCAAGATAACACCCTCCGAGCATCGGAAATTGCAGAACCCTCGATAGGAATCGACCTGGGGACGACGTACTCTTGCGCAGCAATCTACGACAAAGGGAAAATCATTATGATACCAGATCACAGCACTCATAAGAATGTCACTCCAAGTTATGTCCTTTTTGAAAATCTGAAGCAATTCGTAGTCGGAGAATCTGCAAAAGACCAAGCACCCATTTATCCCGACGCCTCAATCTTTGACATCAAACGATTGATTGGACGCAAATTTACGGATGCCATCACACAAAAAGATATTAAGACGTGGCCGTTCAAAGTGGTTTGTGACGGTGGGGGAAAGAATCGTCCAAAAATTGAAGTTTTTGACCAAACTTATCACCCAGAAGAGATCAGTGCAAAGATTTTGCAGAAATTGAAAGACGACGCTGAAAAATATTTGGGTCGCAAGGTCGAAAATGCTGTTATCACGGTGCCCGCTTATTTCAATGATGCGCAGAAATTAGCGACGAAAAACGCTGGGAATCTTGCGGGTCTTAAGGTGATGGGAATCTTAAATGAACCCACGTCCGCAGCAATTGCATACAGTTTGAATTACACGGACGACAAGGAGAGAAATATTTTGGTGTATGACCTGGGTGGTGGTACTTTTGATGTATCGGTGTTGACGGTGAAAGGAGGCGATATAAATGTTCGAGCGGTTGGAGGAAATAACCACTTGGGAGGTGAGGATTTCGATACGAACATGCTCACCTATTGCATCCAAGAGTTTCAAGCAGAGCACAATATTCAGCTTGATAAGGATGGGATTGAATATGAGAGAAATTCACGACTTGGACGAATCCGAGCACGATGTGAAAAAGCAAAGATTAACCTTTCGGTGTCAGAAAAAGTAAAAATTGTTGTTGATCGAATTTATCAGGATTATCACTTGCAAGTGGAAATTACAAGGGAGAAGTTTAACGAATTGAATGAGCCCTTGTTTCAAAAGACATTAACAATTGTTGGGAAAGCATTAGAAGATGCCAAGATGGAGATAGAAGCGATAAGTGACGTTGTTCTTGTTGGAGGATCCACAAGGATTCCAAGAGTTCAGGAAATTCTGAAGGAATATCTCAAAGGGAAAAGTTTTAACTTGGCGATAAATCCAGATGAAGTAGTGGTAAGTGCATGTCTAAATTAAATACACTGTGTTTGTAATACTTTTGGCACTTTTATTTGGTTGAATTTATGTAAGCGATATGAATTTCATCTGATTGTTAAATATGCAACTTTAGGCACAGGGAGCTGCTATTTTAGCAGCGATGAAAAGTGCTGCGAATGTGAAGGAACTAGGTCAAATTCAGGTAATCGTAATGTCGATATCTGAATAAATATATTCCTCTTTACACCATCAGTTAACCCATTCGCCTTCTAGTTGTCCGACGTGGCACCCTTCTCCTTAGGAATCGAGGTAGTAGGGGGCAGATTTTCAACCATCATAAAGCGCAACACAAAGGTCCCCTGTAATAAAACGGAGGTTTATGTCACATCGGAAAACCAACAGACGGTCGTCAAGATTTCCATTTATGAGGGGGAGGATAAAGGCGCGGCGAATAATAATTTACTCGGAAAATTTGTGCTGAGTGGAATTCCTCCAGCTCCTGCGGGCAAAGAATCTATCGATGTCACGATGTCTTGTGACGCGGAGGGGATCTTGCATGTCACTGCAACATGCAATTCGACCGGTGGGTCGAGGGACATTACCATCAAGTCGAAAAAGACTGGACTGACCGAAGAAGAAATGAAGGACTTAAAGGTGATACATAAATATGTACGCAAATAAATTTGTATCGAGGTTGCAACTTAAATACTAATTTTGTTTATATTGGCAGGAAAAATAGCTTTCCTTGTCATGCTCGGTGATGGTATGGCTGAAGAAATCGACATCCAATATTCTCGAATATCCAATATTTTGATTTTTATCTACTCCTGATTGGCCCCACGTTTCAAACGCAAATGGCAAACAAAGGTTTTCCTGGACACAATAAATAATGGTTGCGGTGTATCAAGCAGTATTTTTGTCCAATTTTCTCCTCATTTTTTCATTATTGGCGATGCACCAAACCTCAAATTTTAAACTTGACCGTGTGTATTTATCTACCAGAGATGCCTTTACAGACAATATTACCTTCCTAACCATAATAAATAAACATGCTCAAACCACAAACACTTCGCCATACATAATGGGTGTAACAGACAGAACAAAGCATGTAAATAAGAGATAAACCATATAGAGAACTTCATCTTTAATTTCGGAACTGAAGCGTGCACTTTGCAACATGAAAATGCACCTGAAATAAAGATCAACAACAGACAACTGCAAGAGTTCAAGTTCAAGTTCGCAATTTAATGATGAGTTTCACTCTCACTGAAAATCAGTCAACCACACAAAACATGATCTCACGCACCACTTTTAGTTTTATCTCAACCTAAATAGATTGAAGTTTTAAATGGAAACGTAACTAAATCTAGTTTAATTATGTGTGCAGCTTTTAGTTAGAAAAATATTTAGTCTGCAGTGCCAGTTTAGCTGACCCCATGGGGTCTCATTTTAAGTGATATTTTTAATTAGTATTTAGAAATTTTGAAATGATTTTAAAGTGACATGACCCTTACTCGAACTGCTTTGCACGTAAAAGTGGTCATAATAATATTAATTTCCATCCTGGTAAAATTTTCTCTTCAAGAAATGGTATCTCAAGAATCAAAAATAAACTCTCGACGCCCAATCAAGTTACTCAAATCAGAACCCGAATATATTCAGACAAAATTTCCGAAATCCATCGTTCTTAAAAAGAGTCGGAAATATTATAAAGAACCGAAAACCCCAGCTCCTCAATCGTACGAAGTTGTGGATCATTTTCATGAAACGCTACCCCCACAAGAAGAAGATCACGGTGACCTTATTGACCACGAACCCGCATTCTTTGAGCCAGGCCCACCACGAAGTGTGTCACAGTTGGAGAAACGTGTAAAAAAGTTAAAATTTGGCACGCCCAGATTTCACTTTGAGGTAGAAGTTCCCACGAAGAAGGCGCACCCAGAGCCGCCACGTGCTCACGTCCACCCACACGCGGGAAGAAGGAGGAGGAAACCACCCCCCAGATCTCGTCGACCGAGAAGATGGAGAAAAAAGGTTGATTTTTTTTGTGTGGAAATTTTAATTTTGAATTTTTTGAAATTATATTTATTTAAGATTTGTGTTTTACTTAACAGAGTCGAACATTTACTAAGATCGGAGCCACTCTTGACTTTGCTAACAGTGTACGAAAAAGAATAAAGAAACGGGTAGGAAGAATTATTGCTGGCTCGGTTACCTTGAAAGCCAGGGTGTTAGCGAAACTTATAAATTTTGTGTTCTCATTTTAAATATTTGTTCATAGGGAGTTAAGAAAGATGAATAAATTATAGATATAATTAATCTGTAAATTATGTTAAATAAATCTGTAATATCAATATGTAACTATCATTATTTTAATTAGTAAGTCGTACAATCACAGTGATTTTTTTTGCAAAAATTCCAAGTTTACAATGGGCGTACTCACGTCAGCGTCTTATTCCGCATCGTAGTTAACTCATCTTTTGAACAAACAACATATCAATTTGTTAGATAAATTTACGAACAAAAATTTCATGGGTTTTTAACAAAAACTTTTGCAAAATTTAGCAAATTTGATATTTCGCAAAATTTTACAAGACATATTTTTTGTTTATTATATTATTTGTCATATGCAAAATTTGCGACCTATGCAAAGATTGTCGCGTGAGTACGCCCACAATTTTAAACGTGAATTTGAACATTACACTTTCTTAAATTTTAACAACTTATTTAGTCGAGCCGTTAACTTTGATATTAATCAACTCTTACTAAAAAGCTCTGTAAAAATGGCGTGACTATTTCCATCCGTCATAAACCAGTCATCTTCTTGTGGGCATTTGCACCTGTGCTGGTAGTACTTGAGATGTCTCCTCCCCCGCAACATGTCCCACCTGTCGAAACGGTCGATACAGCGATCTCCAACGACTTCCAGCTCCTCCAGCACCGGTGTTTGGGCGACGAGTTGGGTCAAGTTTAATTCCCCAATCTGCAGCAATTAATTAAATATAGATAAATCTAATTACGCTGTGAATTAAATCAAATGAACTCCCCCAGACTCACCCAGATCAATTTTAGCACCTTCAAATTTGCAAAGACGTCACCAGGTGTAAAAACCCGGCGAAAATTTAGCATCTCTGTTTTCTCCCAGCACCACCGTTCCGTCCAATCGCCCGGATTTGCATCCCATATTTCAATCTCTGGAATAAATTATGACAGAAACTTTGGCAATAATTTTGAAATTTCAATACAATTTTCACACCTGAACAAATCCTATGTGGAAATAACCCTTTGACATCGTCCCCTTCACCATCCCCTTGATACCCCAAGACCCTTAATTCTCTCAGCCGTTCGGCAAACTCTGTCGCCATCATGGACACCGTGTACCCCCTCCTACTCTCCAAATTGGACATTCGTATCCTCCCCAAGTTTGGAAACTTTTGCAAAATTCTGACACAGAATTCCCCATAGTTTTCCAAAACGGTATAATTTCTATAAATTTGAAACTCTCTCCTCGACGGGAATCTGATCTCTGCCGTGACCACGGTTTCATGCGGGTTGTCCACCCACCAATAATAGTAAGAATTTGGCGTCTGTTCCAGCGCGTAGACCCAGTCCCAATAAGTCGCCCGGATTTCGGTGAGTTGCGGAAACCTGGTCATCGTCACGGTGGGGAAGGAAAGTTGGGAATTGCCCGCATTGAGAAGTTTCACATGCGGCATGAGTGGGGGGAAGGGGACCGGAGAGAGGACGGATTCTGATCCCGTGATGAAATGCAGTTCTGTCAACTGATCAGCGAGAAGGGCGAGGATTTCGGAAAGGTCGGGATAGGTGACGGGGACCGTGACCTTGGTCAATATTCGGGTCATGCTGGACGAAAGTAAGCGTGTGAGAGGGAGGGAGGTCACATTGAGGTGGAGGGAGGTCAATTTTCCCAACATTTTGAGTCCTTCCGGGGTCTGGAGAGCTTTCCAGAGCTCATCCCCATAGGAAATTTCCGAAATTTTGAGATCTTTCAGCTTCGGTGCGTTTTGGAGGAGGTGGATCCAAAATGTGGGTGGGACATCCTCGCCCCCGTTGTTACTGACTGATACGGCGGTGAGGTGGGGATAAGTGTGGGTAAGAGGGAGGGTGGCTTTAATTGTGAATTTTTGAAGGTGCAGTTCCACCAATTGTTTCGAAATGGGGGGAATTGTGTCGGTTATTTGCACCCCAGTGGAAGCTTGCAAGTATAACCGGAGAGCGGATGCGTGTTGAAGTTGCAGGGCTATAAAATCGTTCCAAATGCAGAGATGGAATGAAAACCCGAAAAATTTTGAAGGCGTTTTTACCCTGTAATAAATAATTATTGTTTATCTAGTGATAAATATTTTAAATTAATGGATAAGCAACCTTTGAGGAACAGTAAACTTAAGAAATGTCTCCAATTTGGCGATAGAGTCGATTCGGACGAAAGATTTTGTTCGGATCACGGACCAGGCATTTTTAGCCCATTGCAAATTTACAAAGCGGCACGTTTTCACGTCTTTAAGCGACATTTGCGCAAAAATTGAGCGAAGGATCTGGAAATTAAGTGAAAGTTAAGTATGTAAATAGAAATAAAATGCAATCTTACCGGGTCCAATGCGAATATTTTTTGACATAATTCCTCCTCCTTGACACTCCCATAGCCCTGTAAAGCTTGATGGCACGACATTCAGAGTAATTTAATTAGTACAAGTAGAATTCAAAAGAAGAATATTTGCGAAATATTGCAAATTTTTAAGTAAACAGAGAAATAATACGGATTCCGTATTACGGAACAGGGAAAAGCAGCTGATTCATTAGTGGTGGATCGGTTGAGAGGAAGGGGGCCGTGCATAAAGAACTTCGTTTTATTTGATTATCTAATGTTTGGTTATCGATCATTACAAGACGACGCGTTGAGAATCTCAACTTGAGATAAGACGTTGTTTCAGATTGAATCAAATTACCCATATACATTATGCACAGCCCCAATATTTCATGGCGTTTGGGGCATGATTTTCCATGCAAAATTTCAACAATTTATTCATTTTCGATAAAATTTCAGATTTTATTAAGCCACACGAAGTTATTTACGAAATGTATATAATTTCTAAATTGCATATTGCATATTGCACTCTTCATTTTTTATTTCGCATCGTCATGTTGTTGTGTTGCAAGGACGGAGAAAAGTTCGTAAATTTTTAATAATAAGTATTTTGTTTTAATTTTTCAAGAAAGAGTTTTACATATTTTTTAATTTTCTTCAGCTTGAAAGAAAAATTTATGTACAAGTCTTCATCAAGAAGTTATGTATTTCATAGAAATTTACGTCTTCACAAAGTTTGACGTTATACAATTGACCACAGTTACACAAAATGACTGATTAGACATCATAATTATATATGTAAATTGTTTAAAATCGGTTATATAAAGTTACGTATTTATTAAATTCGACATACTTAACATGAAAACTTTTGATTGTGTGACTCACTCATTAAAATTCCGTGCGTGTCAACCACATCTGAAGCTTTATTGACCGGAGGCAGTGCTAAATATAATTTGCCATTTCGCCTGCTCGATAATTATTGTGACCCAGATAAAATCGGAAATTTCAAGTGGTACGAATGTACAATTTCATGCGTATACCTCTTTGTCAAAGGGACATTCAGAAATTTTGTGAATTATATTGCATTTTTTAATACAAATATGGGAATTTTACAAATCGGGAAACCTATTTAAAAATGGGGAATTTTAAAAATTGCATCTTAAAAAATTGCGAGTATTTCATTAATATTGCACAATTTACGAATGTTCCGTAAATAAATATGTGACAAATTTCTTTTGAGGATACGTAAGTGGCGGATGTGATGCAGGAACCTGACCTTTGCTCCGAGAAAAAAGAAAGTATCGTGACAAAAGCGTAAAGAATCATGTTTGTGCATAATACCCGTACAAGTGTACTACCCGGGTAGCTTAGAAGTGCGAAGTTGGACAAGTGGAAATTCGCGTGTGGTCGCGATATATTTATGAATACGGGGCAGCAAGCTTGTTCATCACTCTCCGGGGATCGTAATCTCACCTGAGAAATCGGGACAGGTGGAAAAAAATCAAAGAATGCTTTGCCTTAACTTTGCTTACGTGCGAGGTTAGGGTTGTTTTTTAGGGGAGGTGGTTTAAATGGGAGATTTCATGATTTATGCAAATTTTCAGAGTGTTACACATTTCTAAAATTACAAATTGTCAATATGTTATCCACATTAAATGTATGCATTTTTAGGACAATATTATCCGTTTGCATACATATATAAATCTATTTTAACCATTATGAGAACAAAATTGTCAACATTTTGGTAATGAACGGTGACAATGCTTATGTATGCATTATTGTACTCCACAAAATTTTAATTTATCACACTGCAGTTACAAATCTATATTGGTTTAATGTCGTATGATCTGATTACCAGTAAAAAATAAATTGCAAGCACATTTTCACAAATTTACTAGCTCTGTGCCCAAAAAAGCTAACAATTTTAATGAAAATTATTGCAATTCTTTTCGGAACCCTGTTTCAAGTTGTATACATACATACGTAAATACAAACACATAGTAATAATCTAAATATATGAAACATACATACATACATATGTAATAATAACTGGAGACCCGCATTACAATGTAGCCACCCCTCCCTCTCTCCGTAGTGAAACCACAGGTTTGACCACAATAACAAATTAATCTTCCCGTGTGTCATAACAAGGTGGAAAAGAGAAATAAAATATGGACAACCTTTTGATTCCGATTCTGAGTGCACTGCAGGCCTTAACCTTGCACCAGAGTGGACTATCGATCACGGTCAGATTTTATAGATCTCGGATCAGATTGTGGTTTCCCAGTTATGATACGGACAAAAATTATGGTGACCGGATATAACAAAGTGGCGGTAGTGGCGAAACTAGGGGGGCGTTCTACGGTGGTAGTTGCTATTAAAAATTGTGGGTGTTCATTACGAGTTCGCATTTTCGCAAATTTTCCCCAACTGATTTAGCAATTCATTTGCTTAACCAAATTTGCAATTCTTTTTTTCTAACAATGCAACCTCTTGGCGAATACCCTCATTGTTTTTGGCATTGACTGACAGTCCTAGACCTCAAGAATTACTTTGCATGTAGACATCTGAGAATGAATCTTCAAAATGTGAACCCTTCCACAGGACGGACACATGGACGGACCAACTGTTCCCATAAAGCAGCTTATCCTGCATAAAAATCTGTACGACTGCATAGAACTGCAGACGAACATGTTCTTATTTACGTATATAAATCACCAGGAGGTGAAAGGTGAAAGCAAAGTGAGCCATGAAAGCAAATGTACATTTGTAGCCAGGAAAGAATTAATTTGCAAAGTCCGATTCGGTCAAGTCCAGTCGAGAGGAAAGAAAAAGAATTGGCCTTGTCGGGTTGGTTGTAAATCGCAGAATAAAATCAGTTAGCAATTAGTCGGCACGGAAAGTGGTGTGTGTTCTTGCTGTGTTAATGGAACATAAAAATCTGTGTCAAAGAAGCGTTAAAACTGCATAAAGGCTAAAATTCATGGGAGATTTTATTGGCGTGTCTGCTTTAAGAAAATCACTAGTTCAAGTGCGACTTTGCAGACAGCAACACGACTTTTTTGTCCGTAGTTATCGGTCAAGTATGTAGTGTGGAGAAAATAAAATTTGTGTCAAAATGCGTATTTGCATATGTGCATAACTAGCAACGGACATTGTGTTAAGTTATGTGCAGAGATAAACAATGGATAAAGGAATACTATACTGCGAACAAAGTGATCATCATTTGTGTCAAATATTAAATTTCGTTACCGGCTGTGAATTTAATTCTCAAGCAGACTGAGTTTCTATAATTGTCAAAATATAAAATATACAATATCGCAAAATCTGACACTTTGTCGCAAAAATTACTAAAAAAAATTAATCAAATAATACGCTAACTTTATTTTGTGGGCAATTAACGCGCACAATTGCACGTGGTGTGGAATTAGCTTCATGTATCCCGGAAATCAATCCTAGATTGATTCCGGATTGACACAAATCGAATTTTAGACTAGACTATTTGTTGTTCGTAACGAATTTAAAATGCCGCCAAGACACAAGAATTGGAAAGGAACTCTCTTTCTGCTCTGTTGTTTGGGTGTACTCAAAGGATTTCATGGACCCTCAACGTTATCTCTGGTCGACTATGTCGTCGAGAATAAAAATTTCACGTTTGACCAGGTAATATCATATACCGAAGAAAAATACATATGTACATATGTTTGAAGTTTTTGCACAATGTAAGATAACAAATGTGAAGTATTATCTATTAATTTCATATAATTATATATGTGGAAAATTGTTTCATATAAATATGCAAAGATACAGTGTTTCGGGTGCATGTAACCACCTGCAAGAAATAACCGCAAGAAATTGGTTTCTTGCAGCTATTTCTACCCGCAAGAAATGCAAAGTGCAAGAAACTCCTTCCCGCCGCCATAGTTCTGTAGGCGCGTCACTAGATGGCGCTGTGTTTCTTGCACTTTCTTGCATTTCTTGCACCTTGCATTTCTTGCGTTTCTTGCTTTGCAGTGCAAAGAATGAGAAAAACCCGCAAGAAACGAAACACTGCAAAGATATTTAAATTTACATTGAAAACAAAACAAGAAATCTGTAAATTTTCCTTGCAAACTTTTAAACTACATATTTATGCAGCTTATGCATGTTCCTGTGTAGTTGCAACTTTACAAATTTCTGAACCAAATGTCTCATTTTAGTTTGGCATTAACTTTTTGCACAAGTGCATATGTATGTACATAAATATTTAGGTACATATGGGTAATATGTACATATTATGTAACTTACACATTTCTCATTTTCTAGATGATCTACGAAGTTATCCCTGCCATAATTCCATCGCTCATGCTCTCCTTCACCATCCTTCTCATGATCACGGACGCCTTGAATTACAAACCCATAATTGTGGTGGGGTCAATATGCAGCGTATCCGCGTGGGTCGTCCTCATCTGGTTTTACGACAGCGTCACATTGACCAGGGTAAGTTGGCCGGCAGTAAAAAAAATTAACGATGCGACCCAGACAACTTAAAAAGTCGGCTGGAGTGACATAATTATTTTTTACGATTATGTGCGTCCTGCACAGACGAGAAACTCAAGGAATAAAACTTTTCTTTGAGTGTACTCACAAGTCACAATAACGTCTTAGATAATTCGCATCGCAACTCATTTAGCAAACTTATGAGACTTAAAAAACTATCGGGGAATTCGCCAAATATGATTTCGCAGATTTCCCAAATCTGTACAAAAATTTATTGCCAGGTAAAATTGTATGATTTTTCGACAAAAGTTTTGCGAAATTTCGCAAACTTCGCAACTTATGTATGTGGCTATATATCCTCAATTGCCGAGATATGCGAGATACACGAAACTGACGCTATTAATAGTACGCTCTTTATTAATGTTTCCCTATGAATTTTAATATTTCCTGAAAATTTTGACTTCAGGTCCACCAATGGATACACGGCGCCCACACCGCAGCCTATGAACTCGCCTACTACACCTACATTTACACCCAGATCGACAAATCGGACTACCTCCGAGCCACCGCGGCCACCCATGCGGCCGTCCTTCTCGGCCAATTCCTGTCCTCCCTAGCTCCTCAAATCCTCCTTCCCGCCAAAATTCTCACCCTTCCCCAATTAACCTATTCCTACCTAGGCGCCGCCATCGCCACCCTATTAATCAGTCTCATCCTCCCCAAAGTATTCGACGCCGTGGTCGACGAGCACAACGACATGCACGTCTACACCGTCCCCACGGTGCCACAGCGTAGAAAAAACCAAGTCTTTACGACCTCCGAGGGCGACGATTATAATCGCACGGGCGACCTCCAAACGCCAAATGACGCTTGGTACCTGAAATACCGCAACTCAAACGGTCCCGCTGTGCAGAAGCGGTTTTTTCAAAAGATGAAAGAAGCACCGACCCAGTCCCGCCTAAATTTTGTGCACGCCTATGGAAACATGCGGATTTTGAAGTGGTGCATCTGGTACGCGTCATCGTACGGGGTTTTCTGGCAGGCAGAAGCGTATCTGCCGACCGTGCTGTGGGGAGAGATGGGGGGAAGGAAGAGGGGCAAGTGGGATGGGGGTGTGGTGCTTGGGGTGGGCGCAGTATTTAGCGCCGTGGTGGCGTTAATCGTTTGGGGAACGAGGTTAGGCAGAATGTTCGAGTGGAGAAAGTGGGACGGTTATGTGCTGGGTGGGGGGTCCATTGTGCAAGGGGTGGGGTTACTCGTGGTGGCAAAGACGGCGGATTTGTATGTCGCGTGGGGTGGGTGGGTCGTATTTGTGGGGGTTTTTCATGTCCTGGTGGTCGCGGTAAAGTAAGTGGAATGTTCTTAGCTTATGATTGGTCTAATTGGTTGTATTTTTAAGTAGTGGAGCCCCTTTTAAATTGACGTAATTCACGCAAGGCTTGGTAACATTGTAAAATCCTTAAATTCTGTAAACTTACAAAGTTTTATCAAACTTTACAAATATTTCTAACGGAAAATAGCTTGCAAACTTCTGTGAATGTACTGAGATAAGATCAAGGACGTCTTTTATTTTTTTTAAAGTTGGTAAAATTATTTTACAAAATGCACGGATGACGGCGTGAATTGAGTCATAATATTTTTGAAATTCTGTATACTTTTTACAAATCGTACAAAGTTTAGTACAAACTTTTTAAACTTCAACTTAAAACTTGTCGGGGAAGGATTGATTATAGTAAACAAAAACATTTCTAATTTAAAATACATCTTTTTCCATGTTACACATAATTTTATAAATTTGCATATTTATCTCTTCAATTGTCCCCCAGTTTGCGATTTTCCTCTAATTGTATTCATTCTGTCATTCATTTGCAGAGCCAAGATTGCCGAAGCCATTCTTGAACGGAGTGAGGCATTCATTTTCGGAATCAATAGTTTAATGGGGTCAATAATTTATGCCAGTTTCACGTTCGTCATCACTTCAAGATTTGGACTGCAACTCGGGATCAGAGAACAGACCTCATTTCTGGGAGGATTTGCCCTCCTTTTGGGGATAGGTTTCATAATTTTGGGGATTTTGAAGTGGAAAAAGGACGGGCATTTTACACCTTGTGCGAAATTCTTGGAGAAAGGGAAATGTTGCAAGAGAAGGGATGGTCAAGCCGCTTGATATTCAGTGGGGTAGGAAATTGTTTTCGGAATTTTGCAAAATTTCGAAAAACATGTTAATGGCGATTGACCCTATTTACGAATCGGGCACACATTTGCGTATTCCTATACCTTGTTAATTACTTGTGACTTTCCATTTCAAAATCGTGAGGAGTCGATAGTTTCAAATCCTTGTTAAAAACTAAAATTCCAAAAATGTCTATAATAAGTCAAAAATTATTTATATTTAGTCTTACATACATAATTGTCCCTAAATAGATTGTAACTAGTCCTAAATGCATATATTTACTATCTCTATCTATTCTCTATTGCCGATGACCTGTTCTAATTAAATTACATTATATGTAAAACATACGAATTATACATGCATGATAAATATGTAACTAAATAATAATCATATGATATGACTAAATACTTAACTGAGAATAAAAACATTACTTTATTTACTGTAACTTAATTGTGTCGATTTCGCTGCCAGAGGCAGATAGTGTCAAAAGGAAATGAAGTAATTAATTTCCACATTTATACAACCAACCTATGAAAATTTGTGCATACAATTTGCATAAGATAAATCCAGAAGAAAAATCGGGTTACAAATGCACGCAAATTTAAATATACTAAATTAGTCGGACATCTCTTTTAGTATAATTTTTTATAATTTATGCAGATATATAATATGTATGTATGTCTTTATTGCATAAATGGCCATTAGCCCTTGCAAATCATTTTGTTATTTACAAATATACAGGGATTATTATAAATCATGGTGAGAGAAAATTTTATAAATAATTTATGCAGATATTCAAATACAAATTTTGCATAAATATTTAACGAGACAACCGGAGAAAATCTGCACATGAGGGAATTTTAAATTCATTCATAGTCTGTCAGCCGCAACGTCTTGACGAATCTCACTCTGACTGAGGTGTAAAAGACAAAAAATATTCCCCACTTGGGTACACCCCCCCACTGCAAAAAGAATCAAAACTAGTTGGAGACTGGACATGGGTCCTAAAAAAATGCAGCCCCCTCAGCCAGGTCAAAAGAGAAAGGGCGCCGTAGCCGGACACCCAGAAAAAGGTTCCATCCTTCGCGACACGACGAGGGGAAACGTTATCTCCGTCATGAATCGCATCCATCGTGAGGTTATCGATCCCAAAAAATTTGAGGAAACTCGATCTCGCCGTAAAGAGCGAGAGTTAATGGTCTTGCAGTATCCAGATAATAATCACTCCGAGTATGACGAGAGCATGGAGGTGGAACTGAAAATGGAAAATTGTGTCAGTATCGACACCTTGGTGAAGAACGTGGGACAGGTACGAATTGCGGGGTCAATTAGTCAAAAGTAATGCATGTCATAATTTAATTGATATGTTGTTTTGATTTTAACAGGTTTTGAAAGGGAAGTTTTTACTGTGTCGAACGATAACCCCGTCGAGCAAGATGGTCGGAGTGGACGCTGGTGTGGAGGATGTCAAAGGAGAGAAAGCCATGCGACTTGCCTTCTTCAATTACTCGGTTGATGCTAGAATGGGGAAGTCGGATTTCGAGACGGTCCTCCCCTTGGGGATGATGCTGATCGTGAAGAACCCCGTGTTTAAGAAGCCAATTCCCGAATCACCCAACTTCGGGCTGATTGTTGATAATCCAGCCGATGTCGAATTACTCAGTCCGAAGAGAATGGAGGCACTCTTTCCAGGTAAAATTTGGACATGATTTATTCAGATTTATATATGTAGTTGATTAATAAATATTCTTTTGTCCAGATGTCCACTGGAAGTCTGATCTGCCCGTAGAATCTCGAGCCTTGTTTAAATGTCCCCTCTTCTGGGAATTCTTTTCTACCCAGAGTGATCTCCAGATTGCTACCAAGTTGAAGAACGTGGGAAACAAGGCTTTCGTCGAGAATAGGACAACCGACGCGATCCGATTTTACGACCTTGCTTTTGAATACATACTTGTGGAGGAGGAAGAGGCTCAAGCGTCGTCAGCACTTTTAATGGACATCTTGTCCAACAAGGCTGCCTCTCTGATTAAATTGGAATGTTTTAATTCAGCCCTAATTTGCACGGAAAAGGTTCTAGGAATTAATAGTGGTCATGTCAAGGCGATCTACCGCCACGCCAAAGCCCTCATCGGACTTGGACGCTACTCTGAAGCCGACAAATTTCTGGACGAAAAGCTCAAGCAGCTCGGAGATGAAGAGAATAAAGATATTCTGAGATTGAGGTGCGATTTAAAATCCAAAATTATTTTCAATATGTATTTCAATCAATGATTGGAAATTTTGCTTTCATCCAGATCGGTTGTTCCTGATCTGTTGAAACCACCAGGAAAAGAAATTATCCGTACGTTGAGAACCCCCCGACTAATAACTGGGTCTGATCAGCCTCAGCCAGATTTGCCAGTCGGAATGGCTGACCGCATCTCCGAATTTCTGGGACCAATTGAACTCGGGAAAAGCAAAATTTGCGATGGTGATGGTCTCTTTGCCACTGAAGATCTCGAACCTGGAACAATTCTCCTGGTTGGCAAACCTTTCTCCGCGCTATATGTTCCGCCAGAGGACAAGGAGGCATTTTTATTGAACACGACCACCCACTCGTATCACATCGGGGTGATAGCAAACAAGATCTGGCTGGATCCCGACCTTGGGCGTGACCTTTACAAACTGTGGGCTGGGCCTGACCTAAAACCCTTGCTGGATAATGCGGATCCCAAAATAACAAAAGTTGACATCGCTCGAATCAATAAGATTTGCGACTATAACGTCGCCTTTTCTTACGGTGATCTGGAGAAGGAAGAAACTTATATCTCCGAAGGTGTTTATCCCTCCGCGTCGAAAATAAATCACAGCTGCATTGACGCCAACGTTATCTATGCGCATCATGATTCCAGTCTTGTTATGACGATCACAACTTTTAAACAGGTGAAAAAAGGAGAAGAAATTCTTATGAGTTATGTCGACGTGCCGCTGCCAAGCGAAGATTTTATGGAGATTTATGGTGAGTATCATACTTTTATTTTTTAGAGATCATCAATAATTTGATGAAATTTTACACGAAAAATTGTATGTAATATACAAAAATTGAGTAGTAAAGTTATAATTATTAAAATAACTTAGACAAAAAATCCCTTTACTTCTGTATTCTGTAGTAATCTGTTACAGATTATCTGTACCTATATATCTTTCTAATGTTTTGACGTTTCTTCATAAATATTAAAAATATACTTCCGCTTGTATCTACTTACATCTCTATGTTATCAATAATACGTTAGATGACAAATGATATCAATTCGTATATTTTTGCAGGTTTTATTTGTAACTGTCGACTATGCGAACTGGACCGATCTGAAAGTCCCGTCGTGTTAGCAAAGAGAGAAAATCTTCTCGAAAGTCTGGCCTATAACAAGGACACGAAGAGGTATTTATTTCATCCCCTCCTTCTCGCCAACGACTTGGCAATACTCTGTCAACTGGAACGTCTCCGCGCCGAGACGCCAGACCTGAATTTCGCCATGGCGTATGCTGGAATTTATAAAATTGCCTCCCTCCTATTCGAGTTACTGGGTCGGTATCCAGAGGCTTTGTCCATCTTAGAAAAGACTTACGCCGTGTACCAGAACCTCCCAACCAATATTAACCATCCTAAGATTGTTGCAACCATTTTGGCGTGTTGCGTGAAAATGAACAAGGAAAAGGGACTTCTGGAAAAATGGACGGAGGAACTAAGGAAAAATTGTCGACTTTATGCCGGTACGCTGGAGCATGTTCGAAAATTGGATCATCCCACACTTCCAGAGGACTTGAGAAAATTTGGGATTGAATTCTTCAATGAGATGGATTATTGAATTGAATTGATGCTCAACTTATGTTTTTTTACTGTTTTTTAACAGTACTGTTTGTACGGATATTTATGACTTGATGTATTGCATAATTATTGTTAATTTTCTTTTGATCATTTAATGTTATGAGTTTGATGAACATACTTATTTACGCAATAAATAATTTTTAAATTTGAATATGATATGTTAAATTCCCATGCAAAACTGCTTGAGGAATCCATTGCACTTATCTGGCTTTTATTATCTCCAGCTATTTTGAAGCTAAGAGCAGTGTTTCTTTTTGTACGCACGAAATTAGTTTTATGCATGCATAAAAATGCATGAGACTGGATGAAAATGAATGAAAACAAATGAAATGCTATTCATGCAGGGAATTTCATATTTTCAAGAAATTTTATATTTTATTACCCTATCAAATGGGGTTCAGATTCAGTTATCTAAACTTCCACTGGTTTCGAGCCTTACCACACCATTTTCTGTCAAGGCTTATGACATAAGCCTTATGTACCCATCATAGTTGTCATCGATTACGCCAAAACTTACCTTATCGATTTGGAATTCGTTACACATATCGAATAGCATAAGATTGCTATTTACTTGCCAAGAAAATTTCAATCACGGATTTGTTTTGTAATAAAATACAGCGTTCATCATCAAATTCGTTCATTTTCAAAACTTGCATTCATTTTTCATACTAAAAAATGGGGATGCCACTAAAATAGTAAAATAACGAGGAAAGTATGACACAATAGCACAAAGACTTTTTAATTAATCGAATATGTATAGCTATTAATATTTGCAAGAAAATGATTTTCGTGCATTTTTGTGCATTTTCATGCACTTTTCCTGATTTTTGATGGGTGCGAAATGACACGCGAAATGACACGCGAGGGAATTCTAAACTCACGCAATCAGTCAGCTGCTTCTCCATCTAACTCAACACACAAGTCTCTTTGTGAGGTGTATAAAATAAAATAATAATTCCCACTCACTAATTCCCCCCTCTTGGGCACACCCCCCACTGCAAAAAAGTCAAAACTAGCAGGAGACTGGACATGGGTCCTAAAAAAATGAAGCCCCCTCAGCCAGGTCAAAAGACGAAGGGCGCCGAACCGCCAGGGCCGTCCGTTGCGGTTCCGTCGGAACAAGAGTCCATCCTTCACGACACGTCGAGAGAAAACGTCATCTCTGTCATGAATCGCATCCATCGTGAAGTTATCGATCCCAGAAAATTTGATCAAGACGGATCCGGCAGCAAAGAGCGAGACTTTATGGTTTTGCAGTATCCGGATGACCATGCCGTGTACGATGCGGCCATGGAGGTGGAAATGATAATTGAAAATTGTGTTAATATGGACGCACTGGTGGAGAATATGGGACAGGTGAGTGTTAAGATAAAGGTAGTTAATCCAAAATTCCGAATTAATTGATTAAAAAATTGTGATTTGTTTTTTATCAAGGTCTTGGCCGGCAGGTTTTTACTGTGTCGAACTATAACCCTATCCAGCAAGTTGGTCGGGGTGGACGCTGGTGTGGAGGATCTCGAAGGAGAGAAAGCCATGCGACTTGCCCTCTTCAATTACTCGATGGAGGCGAAAATGGGGATAACTAATTTTGAGACGGTCCTCCCCTTGGGGACGGTGATGATCGTCAAGAATCCCGTGTTTAAGAAGCCCACTCCCGAATCGGGCAGCTTTGGACTGATTGTTGATAATCCGGCCGATGTCGAATTGCTCAGTCCGAAGAGAATGGAAGAACTCTTTCCAGGTGATATTTGGACGCGATTTATTTAGTTAGCTGATAATAATTTATAATACATTTTTTGTCCAGATGTCTGCTGGAAGTCAGATCTGCCCGTGGAATCTCGAGCTCTGTTTAATTCTCCCCTGTTCTGGGAATTCTTTTCTACCCAGAGTGACTTCGAGATTGCTACTAAACTAAAGAATGTGGGAAACAGGGCTTTCGTCGAAAATCGATCAACGGATGCCATCCGATTCTACAACCTTGCCCTCGAATACTTATCTGATATGGAGCAGGATGACGCATACATACTTTTGATGGACATCTTATCCAACAAGGCGGCCGCTCTGATTAAATTGGAGTGTTTTAATCCAGCTTTAATCTGCACTGGAAAAGTTCTTGAGATCAACAATGCTCATGTCAAGGCGATCTATCGTCACGCCAAAGCTCTCGTTGGACTCGGACGGTACGTTGAAGGTGGCGAATTTGTGGACAAAAAACTCTCCGAATACCCATCCCTTGAAGAGGAGAGTAAAGATATTCTCAAGCTGAGGTTTGATTTAAAATCCTAAATTATTTGCAATTTATATTTTAATGATTGGAAATTTTACTTCTTTGATCCAGATCGCAGATTCCTGACTTGTTGAAACCACCAGGAAAAGATATTATCCGTGCGTTGCGAAACCCACGGCCACGTGGGACTGACCGGCCTCAGCCAGATTTGCCAGATGGGATGGTAGACCGCATCTCCGAATTCCGGGGACCAGTTGAACTCGGGGAGAGCATCGTTGGCGACGGCGAAGGACTTTTTGCCACTGAAGATCTCGAAACTGGAACAATTCTCCTGGTTTGTAAACCCTTCGCCGCGCTGTATCTTCGGCCAGAGGAGAAGGAGGCATTTTTATTAAGCATGTCCACCCACGAACATCTCGTCGGTGTGATGGCCAACAAGATCTGGCTTGATCCCGCCCTTGGCCGTGACCTGTACAAACTGTGGGCTGGACCTGACCTGAAACCCTTGACGGATGATGAAGACCTCGAAATGTCGAAAGTTGACATTGCCCGAATCACCAAGATTTGCGACTATAACATCACCATTTCTTACGGTGACGCCGAGGACGAGGAAAGTTGTATCTCCGATGGCATTTGGCTCCCCTCGGCGAAAATAAATCACAGTTGTGTTGATGCAAACGTTACGCTTTGTCATCATGATTCCGCCCTCGTCACTTTGGTCACTACTTTCAAACAGGTGAAGAAAGGAGAAGAAATTCTTACGTCCTATTCCGACCCGTTGAATCCGATGTCAAGCAAAAATTATGTGGAGACTCATGGTGAGTATCGTGCATACAACGGTTTATAAAAAATGATTTATTTTGCCAACGAGCTCATGCAGTCAGTCATTGGTAAGTTGTAAAATCCGAAAGTTTTGTGAAAAAGAACCTCAAAGGGTAACAAAATTGTAACCTAACTTTCCTTATAAATATTTCTACCATTTATTAAGTTTACAGAATTTACGGATTTTACAATGTTACAAAGGCTTTCCGTGAATTGCCTCAATATTCGATGAGATTTTAGACAAAAATTCGTGGGTTCGATTTTTAGTGCAAAATGCGGGAACAAACCCTTTTTATGGTCCGCATGTTAATTTTCCGGGATTTTATTCACCCTGTTGCCCTATAAAAACAGAAATCAAACCCATGCGAAAAATTGGCAAACAATTCTAGTACAAAAAATGAGCGGCATAATTCGAATTGCATATTATAATAATTTGGCCAAGCAATCTTTACTTAAATGTTTTCGAAATATTGTTCGTAAATTTTAAAAACATGTTTCCGCTATTTTCCAAACACACTTACACATCACCATTCTAATGCTGTGATTAATACGTTGCATTTATCTATACGTGAAAAATGATACCAATTTTTGTATTATTGCAGGTTTTCTTTGCAAATGTCGACTCTGCGAGTTGGACCGATCTGAAAATCCCGCTGACATTGCACATAAAGATAAGCTCCTCAAAAGTATGGCTTATGACAACGACACGAACGTGTATAAATATCATCCCCTCATGCTCGCCCGCGATTTGCGAACAATCGCTCAAGTGGAACGTCTCCGCGCCGCCACGCCCGACCTGAATTTAGCCATAACCTATTCTGGGATTTATACTATTGCCTCCACCGTCCTGTTCGGGAACCTGCGTCGATATTCCGTGGCTTTGCCCATCTTAGAAAAGATTTACGCCGTGTACCTCAACGTCCCAACGAACCATAATCATGCTCAAATAACTGGGACCATTTTGATGTGTTGCGTGAAAATGAAGAAGGAAAAGGCAGTTCTGGAGAAATGGACGGAAGAACTACGGAAAAATTGTCGACTTTATGCCGGTTCGCTGAGACATGTTCGGGCCCTAGAGCATTTCACACTTCCAGAGGAATTGAAAAAATTCGGGATTGAATTCTTCAACGAGACGGATTAATTAATTGAATTGAATTGGTGTTCAACTTGTGGTTTCTACTGTTTTTTTAATAATAATAATATGGGTATATGTATTTTTCGACTATTTCTGATATTTATGAGGTGGTATCTCCTTAATTTTTCTTAATTTTCTTTGAATAACTTAATCTTATGAATTTGATGATTTGATGTACACAATGGATAATTACATTGGAATAAATAGATACATACATTTGTATGTCCTATGTCCATAAGTGACGAGCAAAGTTAGTGTGCTTCTTTTCCAACCCACAATTAACATTTCGCAGCATTTATGTATGTACCTCGCACCGTTGCAACTTGATGCTCAAAAGGTTGTAACTCTTTTGCAAGAAATTAGAACACAAAATCCTCTTCCTCCGGTTCATTACAAATTTATTATAATAATTTCATAACTTCAGAAAATTATATGAACTATTTTTAACATGTGTATATGTACCTATTCTCGTTCAATTTTTATAAAAGTATACAAAATTCGATGTCTTCTGTTAATTTTTTTTCACTGGATGATCAAAATATCTGTAGGAATTTTGAAAGCAGCCTAAAATCCGGTAGTGTATTTTACCAGCAATATGCGTACAGTGAAATTATTTGTGTTAGTCGCCTCATTTGCATACATATTTTCACGCGTTCTGTATTTATAAAGGCAGAGTTACATATTTACATGGAAAACCCATATCACCGAAAAGAGGCATAGTGAGATTTGTGCAAATGAGGTGAAACAAGTAATTCCACTGTAATTCACTGTATGTTTGTTATGTATTGCATACAATTACAATACGTACATATCTATACTATACATACGTACAAACATACACCTGTATGAATGAAACGATGAGGATTATTTATAACCTATCATAATATATATACTTCTGTAGGTATAGGATTGCGTAGTATATATGTACATAATATGTACATATTATGTATGTACTATACTTGAAGTGATTTAGTTATGTGCTGTGCGGATGGAGCTAAAATCACGAGAAACCCTAGTCTCAGCGCAAGATACTTTAGGAGGCCGTAGGTTTAAGCTCCACCCGCACAGAACATAACTAACTCACTTTATGTATAGCGTATAGCCCGGCCAAGGCCGGGTTCTAGAGTTCCAGTGGGGGGTGTGCCCAAAGCGAAAAATCCGTCATACTATACTTTAAATAATTCCCAGTGGAGACTTTGTCATACCACATACATACATCAGAGTGAGGGTTTGCCCAAGTCATACTGCATTTTAATTAATCTGGTCACAGTACAATTTGATTCCCCCCTGTGGGAGTAGTTGAATAGCTAATTACTTAAATTCCCGTCGCGTATTAGTAACTGCATAGCTAACTATTGAAATTCCCACGCTTCACGCTCCCGTTAAGTTCCATAAACCCCGTTAGCTTCTACAATTAACGCCAAGCTATTGACGGATTCGGATTCAGCGTCAAAAAACATTCGAATTGATATGCGACTCGCTGTGGGTGAAGTTTCTCAAACTAAAATAATTAATTAATAGTGTTTATCAAGATCACTTATCATGATAACCACTATTGATGAGTGATGTATGGATGTATACTGCTCACTCACTCAATTTACTTGCACACTGTGTTTATATACAAAGGCATTTAATTTGAGATTGATGGCAAGCGTACGTGAAAGTCACATGCAGGCGAAGTGAGACTCATGCAGTATGAAAATTCATGCATGCAGTGGTTGCTCCGCTTCCTTCTTTGTCTCTCTACGGGGCAACTTGCATTGAGAGCCACAGGGACCCAGCCAGGCAGCCAGAACTTAACACTAACGCTTTATTAGAGTAGACTAGCGTATAGCCCGGCCAAGGCCGGGTTCTAGAGTGGGGGGTGTGCCCAAAGCGAAAAATCCGTCATACTATACTTTAAATAATTCGCAGTGAAGACTTTGTCATACTACATACATACATCAGAGTGAGGGTTTGCCCAAATCATACTGCATTTTAATTAACCTGGTCACAGTACAATTTAATTTCCCCCTGTGGGGGTAGTTGAATAGTTAATTACTTAAATTCCCGTCGCGTGGGAGTAACTGCATAGCTAACTATTTAAATTCCCACGCTTCACGCTCCCGTTAAGTTCCATAAACCCCGTTAACTTCTACAATTAACGCCAAGCTATTGACGGATTCGGATTCAGCATCAAAAATACATTCGAATTGATATGCGACATAACGAATAAGCCATATTTGGACACCACGGTCACGGCAAGGTCACGGGGGCCTCGGAGGTCAAAACCATTAATGGCGTTGGATTCAGCGTAAAAAATACATTCGAATTGATATGCCACTCGCTGTGGGTGGAGTTTCTCAAACTAAAATAATTAATTAATAGTGTTTATCAAGATCACTTATCATGATAACCACTATTGATGAGTGATGTATGGATGTATACTGCTCACTCACTCAATTTACTTGCACACTGCAAATATACAAAGACATTTAATTTGAGATTGATGGCAAGCGTACGTGAAAGTCACGTGCAGGCGAAGTGAGACTCATGCAGAAAATTCATGCATGCAACCGTTGCTCCACGTCCTTCTTTGTCTCCTCTACGGGGCAATTTGCATTGAGAGCCACAGGGACCCAGGCAGAACTTAACACTAACGCTTTATGGAAGTAGATGTGCATACAACAGAAAAAGTGGGACTCATGCTCGAACAAAGGCACAAGCTCACCTGAGTATATATTTATGTATTACCGCTACATTGCTAGATTGGTTTTTCCGTTGTAACACGTTAAGTTAGAGCAGGTCTGGAGGAGTTATTTACCCATCCTCCCCCCAAGCAGCCCATATAGCACAGCGGTCTTCACGGCAAGCCTCAAAGTTTTGGGGTCGTGGGTTCGAACCCCGGTCGCGGCATTTATCCTCGTTTGCATTTTTCTTGATTTTGTAGACCTTTTTTTAGTGGGGGTTTCATAACTTTGACATATGATGACCTGGTGACTATGTGCACCGAAACCGAATTATCCTAATATTTTACACCAGTTCATTTTATTTTGGCGTTCAAATTATTAAATTTGGATAGTTGAATGATTTTCACGCCAAACTAAAATAAACTGGTGTTAAATAATAGGATCATTCGGATGATTCGGCTAATTTACTTCGATTATATTACCCGAATCAGCCGAATTATCCTATTATTTAACACCAGTTTATTTTAGTTTGGCGTGAAAATCATTCAACTATCCAAATTTAATAATTTGAACGCCAAAATAAAATGAACTGGTGTAAAATATTAGGATAATTCGGTTTCGGTGCACATAGTCACCAGGTCATCATATGTCAAAGTTATGAAACCCCCACTAAAAAAAGGTCTACAAAATCAAGAAAAATGCAAACGAGGATAAATGCCGCGACCGGGGTTCGAACCCACGACCCCAAAACGCTTGCCGCGAAGACCGCTGTGCTATATGGGCTGCTTGGGGGGAGGATGGGTAAATAACTCCTCCAGACCTGCTCTAACTTAACGTGTTACAACGGAAAAACCAATCTAGCAATGTAGCGGTAATATGTGACTGTCTCCATGAAAAGGGACCTTATTCACCAAATATCTACTTTAGCGACTTTAATTTATTATGGAAGTTCTTGCCTCAGGCTTTAATTTGCCATTTATTTTAGCTCAATCTGTTAACTACAAGTAAAGTTATTTAAATTCAAAGTGCTGCATCGAAAATATGGCAAAACGACATTTTGGCGAAAATTTTTATATTGATTAAATTTAGAACACTGTTTTAAAATTTAGTATTGTAGCTCATATGGCGCTAATAATAGATTTGCATAGGCCAATACAGGCCTGAATGACCTTACATTTTAAATTTGAGGTTTATCGCCCCAGGTTAAGTGTCTAGGTCACGTTAAGGTGCTCAAAAAGGTCAAGGCGCAAATTTCATTATTTTATTAGGTAAAGCAAACCTGTACAACCTTAAGTTTTAAATTTGAAGTGGAATGCTTAACATTAATATTTATTTCGCCAATTCAGCTTTTTCTATTTTTTCTATCCACGTTCACTTGCTGGATGTGTATATGAAAGGTATAGTATGTCAGCAGACACTCCAATGTTAAATAAAAATGCTCGTGTGGCGAAACCTTACAAGATAGAAAGATAAGGTAAAAGAACTTTATGACCGTCTCCCAAATCTAGGTATAGGGCACGCATACCGTTTTTCGAAATTTTGAAACGTTTTTGAAATATGCACCAAAACGTTTTGTTTTACAAAATAACACTAAATACCACCGTAAATGATTTAGGCCAAAGATTAAAAAAAACCAGCGACAGGGTTATATCCACAGGTGGAATAGCTACAAATTTTAGTCGGAAATTTTTTTCATATCATGCCTCCTTTTGGCGCGAAAATTCAAAATGTCGATTTTCGGGTCGTGTCATTCTGACAAGGGTAGCATGAACAAGATTGACTTTTTGAAGATATTGCAACTAGATAATTATTCCTCAGAGCTATGTGGTATTTCCTCTCATAAACCATTTTTCGAAATGCAGCTTGTGTCTGGCGCTAAGTTCAAAGCTTTGAAAATTTTCGCAATTTCGGCTGCAAATTTCTTACCAATACTACAGCCAAGATGTTACATTCTAGCGACCGAAGCAAAGTGGGACCGTCTTTGGAATGGCCCACCTTAGATTTCTCCTATTTACAATTTATTCGAAATCGACCTGGTTTTTGAGCTATGGCGGGATATCCAAAATTCGACTTTTAATGGGCATAATCGTGGGATATAACGTACTTAGTGTTAAAAAATAGTTCTTTTCCGCGGTTTTACCGCATAACTTGTTGACGAAATGGGTTTCGCTGAAAGTTTTCTGTTTTGGTATTTTGCCGCTTGTAGAAAATGAGAAAAGTATGAACAAGGTCCCTTTTCATGGAGACAGCCACATATGTGCCCAGCCCATACTAAATTTCTTGGAATTTCCCCATTTATAGCAGAGCTAAATATACCGATATGTACATGTTTATATTTACAATAATGATTATTGTCCCAGTCAAATTATTATCTGATTATTGAATAATCCGATAATAATTTGACCGCCACAGGATATCCTCACGAGCTTAATAAATAAGTACATATTTGTGACAGGATATGGACACCAAATTACTTAATAATGACAAAACATTATTTTAGTCATCACTAAGGGAGCGTCCATAAATCACGTGATCGATTTTTGGACAATTTTGACCCCCTCCCCCCCCTTGGTGACCGGTGGTGATAATTTCGCTACCCCCCCCCCACCGGTCACGTGACAGGAGATGATGCTCAAATTAAATCATGTTGTCCGGAATAACAACATTTTTTAAATCATTAATCAAATTAGAGGTACAATACACACGTGTAAATAACTGTTTAACACGCCAGTCAGACATAAGAATTTAAGTCGAAGCAAGTTTCTAAATATGCTAAATGAAAATCAAATTTATATAAAGTGCGTGTGGTATGGCAAGAGAGTATAACTCTCATGACATTTATTGACGTATATAAAAGTTAAAAACTTTTACTCATATCACGTGACATCTGACCATCTACCCCCCCCCCCACCGTGATAATTGGTGACAAATTTCAGACCCCCTCCCCCCTCTAATCGATCACGTGATTTATGGACGCTCCCTAAATACCAACGGATGTGCTGATACGGTCAAGCATTTCAGAGTGGATTCAACTCCACTCAAAACTGATAAGATTAACCACATTTAGCAGATAAATACATACGTATGTACATACTTATTTATGACGTATAGTGTGGAAGTAGTTCAATCAATTTTATGCCCAAATGATAAAAATATGTGCATATGTACATGGAAGTTTGACCCTTCACCTTTATTCCTTAAGGGTGCCGATTGAATTACTTTTTTGAGTATCAATCCTTTAAAGTTCGAAAGTATAGAATTTGGAATACTGTAGTCGTTAATGTGAATCCAAGTCTATGTAATACATACTTGCATTTCTAATCTCTATGCCAAAAAAGGTGAATGGAATTGTTTACGTCACGAGTTCATATAAATCATCCTACACTTAATCTAATCAAATCAATTGTGCACCACTTTACTTAATCGTGCCCCCAAATATATAAGTACAAAACTTACTATATCACTCAGATCATTTTGTTGTCTGACCTTTAGTCAAGTTTAATTATTCGAACGGACAGCAAACAGAAGCCAATATTTGCTACAAATAGATCGACACTTCATCGCTACACTGTCTTTTACGTTGTAGATATTGGAAAACAATGGCTCAAAACCCAGGTAAAACAAATGTTTTAACAACAATGTGATTGTATAAAAAGTGGTAGTCGCCATGAGGCTATCAAAATGCATAAGTAAAAAAAGACCATTGCTTTGAGCTTTAGTATCAGTAAAAAAAATGTCATTTCATTATATTTAATCCTATCCTCCAGGTCACCCATGGGATTTCGAAACCCTAGAACTTTTAGGAAGTGGCGCGTTCGGCGTTGTAATTTCTGCCTTTAATAAAATTGACGAGTCCATCAGTGCCGTAAAACTAATAGTCAATCGAGACGAAGGAATTCAAGTGGAGGAAAATGCGAAAATAATCAAAGAAGCGAAAAATTGCGCAAAGCTAAACCATAAAAATATCGTCAAGTACAAAACCTGCAACTTTTTCCACTTTCAATCCCTCGAACTAAAAGAAATTCTTCGACCTGGTGCCGAAAATCTGCCCGAATTTATCCACGACTGCTTAGATTCTGGTGACGAGACGAGCATAATTTCCGGTTTGTATATTCAAATGGAACTTTGCGGCTACACTTTGCGATCTTGGTTAATTAAGGAGTCAGACGATTTAGAAGGAGTGGATGAAGATTTTTCAAGAAAGTTCGATAGAGCCGAAATATGTCAAGGGTTGATCGATGGGGTCAACTATATTCATCGGGAGGGTCTAATTCATCGAGATTTAAGACCGGAAAACGTCTATTTTAGTATCCCTATGAAAAATGGAGATTTTGGCCTCCCTATAAAAATTGGGGATTTTGGCTTATCAAAATTACTATGGCTGGAGGAAACTAACCGAGTAGCCATAACTATGACGGAAAAAGTCGGAAATGAGACTTATCGCGCGCCCGAAATGGATATCAGCCATCCAAATAAACCCGGCATGGCGCGGTACGGTCAAGCCGTGGATGTTTATGCGGTTGGGCTTATCATTTCAGAGATTTTCGATCCATATCCGCAAGATAATTTTGCGAGGGTGAAAAAATTTGAAAAGATAACGTATAGTGGCATCGTTGGGGAAAGGTTGGCCAGAAATTATCCAGAATTGGGCAAATTTGTGGTCAAATTGGCAAGTGAAGATCCAAGAAAGAGGCAGGATTCGGATTTGAGAGGGCGTCTCGTTCCAATCGAGGTGGGCAGGAAGCACTTTTTCCGACATGGGAGCAGCGATAATTTTGGTTCTTATGTAGCAAGAAATGAAGGATCAAATTACGTCGACTCAAGAAAATTTGACGACAGCACAGAATTTTATACCCATCAATGTGTATATTCTGGTATGAAATCTTGGGGGTATTCATTATGAGTTCGCATGGGGAAATAATTTTGAAAAAATCGTGCGGACTATTTAGTCTTGCAGCCACATAAATAAGTTCCCAAATGAAATTTCAAGTCAATATTTTTGGTAAAATTGCTTCCCATGCGAAGTCGTAATGAATGCCTCCCTTAATTTTATTCCGGTATTTGTGTCTTAAGTGTAAAATAATTTTGGATTTGCAGACCCTGGCATGCGTAAAGTAGAATATCTCCAGACGCATAATGAGCCCAATAGCTGTCCAACTTTAACCCAGAGTCCTCTTAAGAAACAGAGTAATTAAAAATATTTTAATTGGATAAGCCAATATGCATAAGTTGCCATTACATATATGTTTAAACAACTTTCTTCAATTTAGATATTCAATTTTTGCGAGAATTGCTGCAAAAATGTAAGCAAATTTGGACATATGAAAACATTTCGCTGTTTTTCAACAATCTAGAGAAGACCGATGCACACAAGCCGGAAAATTTCTTCAAACCGAGTTTGAAAACCACTGTAAATGAAAATTTGTACAGATTGGAGAAAGAAAAATCGTTTCTTTTGAGCAGTAAAAACTTGAAAAGTGCCGTGGACAAGTGTGGAGTCAGACACTTGGCAGGTTTGAAGAAATTTATTTTACTTATTTATGAATTATGATGGAACGTAATAATATTTAAGTATTCGTTTTTTTCAGGAAAAATTGACGAACTGTTTAATAAACAGTGTTTATATGATGACAAAACGGTGTAGTTACATAAATATTATATCAAATATGTGTAAAGTGAAAATGTTCCTATGAACATATACAAATTCCTAGAAGAAATTCTATGCTAAAATTTTTGTTTCGATATGTGTATCTAATTTAATACCACTTATTTACATGCATATGTACATACCTACATTAATTTAAAATAAATTAATATGTAGATAGATTTCCAGATTGTAACGTGGCTAGAATGAAATAATTTGTTTCGTACATACATATTTACATATGTACACATTTTATAATTAAGTATTTTGCATGTAAACTTATGAAATGTCGTTAATTATGATTGGAGAATTGAAATAAAATGTTCCCAACGAGTTCCAATCACTTTCTTTAAGTGATTAACAATTACATATGGCAGAGCACGCCATGATTATCGACATAAATGTACATTGCCCAGACAAACAAGGATCATCCTCCAAGATGGATTACAATTACATTGAGGATACTATATAAGTTAACCCATTGTTTATTTAACACGCGGTGGAAGAGTGCTCTCTAAAAATCCTTAAAAATATACACAATTCACCAACATAAATGCATGCATAAATATGATCTAGGTATACAAAGCGAGTGTTGGGAGAATATTAGCATGGAAAATTTTGGAAATATTCCACAAACTCCTTTGTGAGTCAACTTGAGGTCCAAGGGTCTCAAAAAACTTGGGATTTCCAGACGGGGTCGTCAGTGTACATATGTAAAAATGCATTTGTAGAACGACAGTTGCCAATCTTACGGATATTTTTAAGGTGCACTAGCAGTACGCCACCCAAAAACATGGAATCCATGGTCAATTTTTGGTACTTGTAAAAATCAGTGTAGATTCGATAATATGTAAATATGTTCTTTGCGTGAAGGATGTGATCGATTTTTTTACCCCTTTCGTTGAACTCAACACACAGTAATTTCCAATCAGAGGGACATGCTGGTACCCTTGAACAATCGCATGCTTCATACACGTGATGAACCTCGCTTGATTTACAGACAGATTTGTCACAACTCATGGGAAATCCCATCCTACAAAAGGCGTTAGGACATGGTTTTGACGAATTCGCGGATGAATATCTCTGGCGGGGAGTTGAATTTTGAACTGATTTTTTGTAGGCTGTAAGATCATACTCTCAGAAAGATATGTTTAAAATTTTAGGGCGATAGCTTCAAAAATCCCCCTTCAGTGCCCCCAGAGTTGGAAGGAGCCAAAAAAACACTTTCCAAACTGAATTACTCATATAGCATGATAACCCAAGAGGTCAGAGGTGGATGATTGTTAATATTACAACCCTAGATAATCATTGCATGAAATAATAAAAGAATCCACAATGAATTACATAACGTTGTGCCTCCATCGTCGCTGATACTTTTCCATGAAAAGTGATAAATCGGACCGTGCACCGGGAAATTGACCTGCTGACCTTGAAAACGGACAGACTGGGTCAAATGAAGATTGAGGGTAAAGCTGGAAGTGTCCTAAGTAATATTAAAACAAACAGTCAAGATTTTGTATAAACAGTTTTAGAGAAGGACCCGAGTTAATCAGCTGTCGCGGAATCCTAAAAAACTCGTGAACTTATTTGGAAAATTAATGGTAAAATTTTTTCGAAAATAAATTTTAATAATCTTTTTGTGTCCCCTACTGCAGAACTATTTTATCTACAAGGTACAAGTGCCAAAATAATAAAATTATTGCGTTTTGGTTAGTCAAATTCGTCGTACACAATCAGGTAAAACTATTTAGACTAATTTTTTACCTAAATTTTCCAAATTATTGTTTCCTTTAATACAAAGTTTCAATGGAGTGATCAACTCAAACAAATTTTTAAACCGATTTTTCCCGTAATGTCTAGAAATAATCCGTATCTTTTCATTTTTGTAAGGACGCAGAATGACCGAATTTTCAAATATTTTAGAAATAGAATCTATATCGTTCAAAATCGTGCAACTTTTTTAAAAAATTGACAAAAATTGAAAAAATTACTCTTCAAAATTTACAAGTTCGTTTTTATAAAATTGCCAATTTAAATCTAAAAATTTGTATTTATTTTTCAGAAATGCTGTCAATGCGAGTCATCCTTTCCTGCGTGGTGGTCCTGCTGATGGTCGCGTCCCTAACGGAGGGTCAAGTGGGGAGCTCGGGGTGCAGCAGCAAATGGCCGCCAGCCGGGTGGTGTTGGCGATACTGTTCGGGATCTTCGGGGAGCTGGTGTTACACGGGGAAACAGGGGCCATGTGAGACTGCCTCCTGCACGGGGGGCTCCTGTTCGGACATCAGTTGTGAGGGGGCTGACCCCGGTTGCGTCGGTTTCTGCCCGTGATCTCTGCATTTGAAGAAATACAATTTATTGTTTTCATATTATATTATTCAATAATTTTGTTAAAAATTCACAATTTATAGCTGATTTTAAAATTGACAATAAATAAAATCTTATTGACTCATATTCAAAACAATCTTATTTTTAATCGATGTAAACTGAACAGCAAGAAAACAGAAATATACTGTGGAATTATTTGTGCGTGTCAGTCACCTCATTTGCATATTTCGACGCATTCGAGGAGGGACAGAGTTTAATTAACGTGGAAAGGAAAGTCCGAAAATGGACATCGTGAGATTTATGCAAATGAGGTGACACGCACAAATAACTCCACTGTATGGCCATAAAGTGTTAGTTGAACGCAATTTTTTTAACCGATTGAGACAAAATGATAAGCATGTTAAAAGCATTATTGTTATTTGACTTACAATCGGAGGTTAAGTAACGTCCCATGCAACTTACTGATATCAATATGATATCAAAATGATACAAAAACTTGGATATGAACATATCCACACGACATCAGTGAGCGTCAGAACTACATCAGTGTATGTCTAGATTGGATCGCTATTTCCCAACTTTTGATATCATAAAGATGTTCACTCCGACATCGCCACGATGTCAGACTAAGTCTAACCGCTGATATTGTTTAGATATCGTATTGATGTCTGATGGATGTCATGCGTTGGCACAAAAATGACATACACTGACATGGTATTATTTTCTTCAAAATTTATTTATTTACTTAACATTCTACAAACAGTACACGCATTAATGATTTTAAGCTAAAAAATTATTTAGTATTGGATTTTTTAGTAGTTTGCTCAGCCTTCAGTCGGTCACCTGCGTGCTGGAACCAGGAAATTACAGCTTTAGCCAATTCTTTCTCTGAAATTTCCGGTTTGGCTTCACCTATGTAATCTATGGAATGAGACATTTACAATCAGTACATATTTATACTGATTGCAATTACTATATACTATAATATTATGCATACGGTACCTGACATGACAGTCCAGCACGTTGTTGATGAAAAATTGTAATTTTGCTTTAACCCTTTAAAGCTAATCCCAAGAGCTAAAAAGTTAGTAAATAGCTTCTTTAGGATGTCGCCAACGACTTCCGGGACTTTTGAGCTACCTCCACGAGAAATGTGACGCTTCTGTAAAAAATACATGATTAATATTTAAATAATTCTCTCAAAAAATAGTTCATATTTATATATAAACAAGCCATCTTACAAGTCTTAGTTGTCTTCCTTCATTGTGCATAAGTGACTCGTCAAATGCGAGAAACTCAGCTAAATTGTCAAATGGTTTTTCAATTATTGGCGGTTCCTTGGATTTTAAATCCTCCTTGCAAAAATTTGTGAGCCTCTTATTTATATTATCCAAGTTAAGTTTAATTAATGCCACGTCCGTAAGAAGTTTGCTCCACTCAGCTAAATTTAATAAAATCATAAAAGTTACAATGTTTATGGAAATAAAAAGTGTTACGTCCACCAAAAAATGTTACCTTTTGGAATATTGGTCACAAATAATGGCTGTGAGGCTTCAGCTACTGTCCACTCCATGTTCTGCCGTAAAATTTCAGAACCTTCGGCGCACTCAACGTTTAGTTTTCCAACAACGTTCGAAGGATTTTGACTACTTGACCCAGAAGCGCAGTTGAGCTGATCCATGTTTAGTTCACCTATTTTTAATTAATAATATTTTAATACAACAAAAGGAACTAAGGATAAAGTAAATGGGAGAAGATAAATGATAAATGCATTGTATAATTTTTTACTTACCCACGTCCAAATTCGTCATCACAATTTGTGATGATGACGAATTTGCTAGAATAGCACCATCTGCATTCTCAAGTACGACGTCCGCGTTTTCTAATGAATCCGATGTTTTATCATCGGTACAATGTCCAACTAGTGCAAGACTAGGCATTTCCGGAAGGTGAGTTTTGACGACCTCAGTGGTTATTTTCGAATGTGCGGAAGCTGTTGAGAAAAATAAAATTAATGAAATATTAAGAAGGAGATAAGAGAAGCGATAAAACAGACTTTTATTTACGTTTCTGACCTCTTAAATCGTGTAAAACGTTGTCGTCATCTGAGTCCTCTACGTCATTATCGCTTCCAGGAGATGTGAATCGTTGCGGTTTTCTAGTCCTTTTGTGAGGTAAATCATCCGCCTCGGTACTAGATAAATCTGAAGTCAACTCGGCTTGCACAATTTTCTTCCGGGCCTCCTCGTATGTGGCTGAAATAATAACAAAATAACTAAGAACAAAGAACAATACCAACGCAATTAACTAAATCATAAAATATCACACCATATGCATGAAGAATCCTAGCGGCATATCGGGGAAAGGATGATTTTGGGGGGCGGCCGGATTTTACGACTACTGCTGCATTTTTTGAATTTGGCCATGCACACGTCTGGTTGTCGAAATATGATTGTGGCACCACTGCAACCCATTTCTTTTCGTCCTCCTTCATTTCAACAATGTAGAACATCTTAAAGCTGGTGAACTAGTGGAAAGACGGCGATAACTCCTGCAGAGATAGGAAATACTTGGCATTTATATACAACCTCGGAAGCACGAATTTGACAGAGTTTATAATGATTTTCGTCAGCTCTATAAATCTGAAGCACTTTTGACGAACACGGCTGGGAAAATAACGAGTCCAATTTACTGTACTTATGTCCAACTAAATAAATCTCACTGGTATCATTGTCTTGAAGAATGTTAAGAATCCGAAGCACTGCGCATTCACGTATTAACACGAAAGTATCGCGGCGAAGCCTACAGTTAATTGTATAATTCGGTGTAATTAATACGTGATACTGAGTAAAATTTCCAATAGATTCTTCTAGATGTGGTCCATTGTTGTGCTGTGAGGATGGCCCGTTTATTTGAATGTTTCGCGCCTCCAATTTTAGTTCCCTCTCCAATAATCTTTGTTTCAGTTGCTCCAGTGGCAAATTGGGCGTCCTAACTAATTTTCTTAA